TTAGCAAGAGGTATGTAGTCGAGGGTTTACTGAGGCTGGCTGTTGCTTATTTGATAGGATTTAGGAAGTTGCAAAGCATGACCCAAGACCAGCTATTTATATGCAAAAGTCACACAGTTTGGTTGAACCTGTGAGTTGGGTGGGGCAGAGTCTCAGGATCTCCAAGGCAGGGCAAACAGTGTTAGCCAGAGTGATGGTAGAGTCTCAGATAAGGCACCTGCTGTTGCTTATGAGGGGAGGGCTCAGCAAAGGAGCAGTGGCCTCTGCCCACCTTTCTGTCTGGGAAAAACCTGTCTCCCAGGTCTTGCCTTGATGCCAGACACTGCAGTTCCTCCCTGCTTGCCACTGGTGCCTATTAAGCTGCTACCCCAGTGCTGGAGCTCAGAAAGAGTGAATCTAAGTAAGTCCTAGTGTCGGTTCTTTAAGAGGAACTGCTTGGGATTTTAGCATTTTCATCTACCAACTCAATCCCTACCGACTTAATCCCTGCTGGTTTTTGTAACCAGAAGTTAAAGGGATTTATATTCCTGGCATTGGAACCCTGGGTTTGGGGGCCTGGTATGGAGCTGAGACTCCTCCCTCCCAAGACACCCCTCTGGAATTTGTACCCACCACACATGGATGTGGGACCAGCCCATCCCAATTTGTACCCACCACACATGGATGTGGGACCAGCCCGTTCCGTATCTACACGTCCCTGCCCTTCTTACCAGTCTGGATGGATGTGTTTATTTATTTATTTTTAGAGAGAGGGGAAGGTAGGGACAAACATCAATGTGTGGTTGCCTCTCACGTGGCCCCTACTGGGGACCTGGCCTGCAACCCTGGCATGTACCCTGAGTGGGAATCGAGCTAGTGACCCTTTAGTTCACAGCCAGCACGCAATCCCCTGAGCTATACCACCCAGGGCTGGATGGATGTGTTATTAATTCCATAGTTTTCAGACTTCCATTCAACCTGATTTCTGACGGTTCTGAGTGATGGTGGTTCTACATTTTAGTTGTAATTTTGATGTGGTTATGTGAGGAAGTGAGCTGTGTTTACCCATGCAGCCATCAGGGATTTCATTTTTTAAATCTTTTCTTCTAGAACTTTGTTCTTTTTTCTATTTCTAATTCTTGGCTGTCATTTTCCAACTATTTCCTTTATTAATTTCCTCACATTTTGTATATAATATTGCCACTCCATTTCTGATACTCACTGAAAATAAAAAAAATTTGCATTTGCCCCATTTTAACATAATGGATATTCAAGGTTAGCAGGTAAGACTATGTTCATAGAAAAGACAAAAATAAGGTTCTGAAAAGATTAACAATGATTTTCCTCATGTGAGACAATGAGGGCTGAGCTTTTTTCTCTGTATTTATGTTGTTTTGTATTTTTACTTTTTTGTTTCTACTGTCTTAACTGAAACATATATTGCTTCTATGAATAGAACATGTGAAATAAACTTTTTTAAAAGAAAATTTAATTTCATTATATTTGGTTAGGGAAGTCTTTGTGTTTTTTTTTTTTGAGAATTAGGCTTCATAATTCATGAAGAACAGATAGAATTTGGAAATACATTTTAGGTAATCAACAGAGTCTTGGAGATGGCAAAATAGATATGTACGGGATGGCAGAATAGGCTTACTGTTGTGACTATGCAAGGCAGAGTTTATTCTTATATTATTATTGATTAATTACTGTATTATTTTTCATATGTACCATTGTAAACCTAATGTTGCTCTACCTACTCTGTATATTGGGGTCCTAGTTCTTTTAGTATTTTCCCTTCTTTTCTCATATAGTAGATATTTTCTAACTACTTTTAAACATGGGATTATTCAAAAAGTGAACTTCAGATTTTATTGATAAACTCATGCATGTCTGGGAGAATTCTTCATTTTGATATTGGCTTCAGTCTTTAGGCCTTTGTTTTGTCCATTCTGTTTTCCAACACATATCTTAAACTTTAATTTCTGTCACTCAAAATTTTAATTCTAACATCTGCAGTGTTTGTTTTTTTATATCTATTATGCTTTCATATTTCTTTATTGATGTTAGTGACACTTATTTTATTTTTTATATTTAATGTTTTCTTTTTTATTGTATTTTTCCCATTACCATTTAGTACCCTTGTACCTCCCGCCCGCCTGCAATCTCCCCACTGTTGTCCATGGCCGTGAGTCCTTTTTCCTTTTTGCTTAGTCCCTCCGCCCCCTAACCTGCCCCCGCCCCTGCCCTTAGATGTCATCCTGCTCTCTATTTATGGATCTGTCTCCGTTTTGGTGGTTAGTTCAGTTTGTTTATTAGGTTCCACGTATAAGTGAGATCATATGGTATTTATCTTTCTCTGACTGGTTTATTTCACTTAGAATAATGTTCTTCAGGTCCATCCATACTATTGCAAAGGGTAAAATTTTCTTCTTTTTTATGGCTGAATGGTGTTTCATTGTGTAAATGTCCCATAGCTGTTTTACACACTCATCTACTGATGGACACTTGGGCTGCTTCCACATCTTGGTGATTGTAAATAACACTGCAGTGAACATAGGGGTGCTTATGTCATTTCGAAGTAGTGTTTTGGGTTCCTTCAGATACATTCCCAGAAGTGGGATCACTGGGTCAAAAAGCAGATCCATTTTCCATTATTTGAGGTATCTCCTTACTGCTTCCTACAGTGGCCACACCAGTCTGCATTCCCACCAACAGTGCATGAGCATTCCCTTTCTCCACATCCTTGCCAACATTTATCGTGTTTTGATTTATTGATGATAGCTATTATTACAGGTGTGAGATGATATCTCATTGTGGTTGTAATTTGCATTTTTCTAATGATTAGTGACATTGAGCATATTTTCATATGTCTCAGCCATCCATCCCGATGTCCTCTTTTTAGAAGTATTTATTCAAGTCCTTTGCTCGTTTTTTAATGAGATTTTTTTTTGGTGTTGAGTTTTGTAAATTCTTTATAAATTTTGAATATTAACCCCTTATCAGATGTATCAGTGAATATGTTCTCCGATTCTGTGGGTTGTCTTTTTATTTTGTTTTCCCTTGCTGTGTAAAAACTTTTAGTTTGAAAAAAAAAAGGAAGAAAATACCTAGAAATAACCCTACCCAAAGATGTAAAAAGATCTGTACTTGGAAAATTATAAGATAATGAAGAGAGAAATTGAAGAAGATACAAACAGTGGAAGCACATACCATGTTCATGAATAGGAAGAATTAACATCAGCACAATGTCCATATTACCCAAAGTAGTCTGTAGATTTCAACACAGTTCCTATCAAGATTCCAATGACATATTTCACAGAACTAGAACAAATATTTCAAAAATTTACATGGAACCACAAAAGGCCCAGCACAGCAACAGTGATCCTGAGAAAGAAGAACAAAGTTGGAGGAATCATGTCACCTAATATTGAACTATACTATAAATAAGGCCATAGTAATCAAAACAGTGTGTTACTGGCATAAAAACAGACACATAGTTCAATGGAACAGAACAGAGAGCCCAGAAATAAACCCACACCTTTATAGCCAATTACTATTTGACAGAGGAAGCAAGCACATACAATGGGTTAAGATAGCTTATTCAATAAATGGTGTTGGAAAAATTGGACAGATTAGTGCAGAAAAATGAAACTAGACCACCTTCTTACACCACACACAAGAATAAATTCAAAATGGACCAGAGACTTAAATGTTAGACCTGAAACTATAAAAGTCATGGAAGAAAACTTAGGCAGCAAAATCTCAAACATTGCTTGTAGCAATACTTTATCAGATATATCTCCCCAGGCAAAGGAAACAAACAAATAATAAATAAATAAACAAATGGGACTATATCTAATTAATCACACTTATTTTAAATTCTTATTTTGTTTATGCTATCCATTTTCCTTCATTGTTAATATTTCTATTTTATTGGATTTTGTGGCTCTTACTTTATTGTGCTATATCCTCAAGTGTGTGTTAGTTTTTAGTTGTCCAGTCGTCTTTCTGAGTAAGAGTCTCTCTCTCCTGCCTGCTGGTTGGGTTTGACGTGGTGATGTTCTGCCGTTGGTGAGGATCGTGCCTACCTGAAGCGTGCTGCTGTCTCTCTCTCTGCTCAGCTGCTTTGTCCTGAGTGAAAGGCACCATCTGACACACGTGGCGGTGGGGGCAGGGCTGTCCCTCCCAACTCCTCAGTTGGCCATCCTCAGGCTTATCCCTTACTTCACTTTGTGTTTCTTAATTCTGTTTACAGCTTCTCCGGAAGCACCCTTTTCTCTGGAGAAGTCTTCTCTTGTGGGCTGTGGTTTTCTCTAGGAGTTCCTTAGTAGATTTAATCCTGCCTATTTTTTATCTTTTTGGGAATTCCTCAAAATATTTATTTTATTACTCATTTTATTTTAGTGACATTCCTCTTTGACTTTCAGCCTTTTTTTTCTATTAAAATATCTTGTATTTTAAATAGTTTTTATTGGGGAAAGAGGTACAGGTGTGTGTTTAGTCTGTCATTTGATTTCACCTGGTAATGTTTAATACTTAGCAGTATTTTCAGTGATATATTTAGACTACTTGCAGGGTGATCCTAGAGCTCTAGACTTTTGGTTTTAGAATGTAATTATGAAGAGAGAAATGATCTGTGTGTTTCCTAATGAAGAACCTGAGGTGCTTTAGCTCAGTGGCCCATTACCGTTTTGTCTAAATCAGAGTGTGGATCATTCTATCAAAGAGGAAAATAGCATTTGAGATTTGAGCAATTAGTTAACTTATTAAAAGTGATTAAGTACTTTTTCACATGTTAATTAACGCACTCTATCAGAAGTCACCCTGAGCGATTACTAATCTAATGCTGGGAGAATGAATGAGGTTATCAGATGCTCTAATCTAGAATGTTGCTGTGTTCAAGTACAAAACGAAGTAATTTTTCCAATGTTACACATTGTTGAACACTCATCATTGTGTTACATCTTTACGTTACTAAACTGTGCTTAGTGAAACGTTGTTATTGTGTCTTTATTTCCTAGTTTGACACTGTTAGAAGCAATCTTCAGAAAATTAAAGGAAGAAAAAGGGAAGAAGTAGTTGCTGCTAGCATTAACACCCCAAAGAAGAACATGCGAGTCATTAAAAACAAACTGAGCAATCCACAGTCGGCAGCTGAAAATCCAGATGATGGTGTGAGTGGAGAGGAAGACAAGCAAGAAAAGGCGAACAGGAAGGTTACAAAAGCAGTGTGCCAGGTGCCTGCACAACAGATGGAACAGGGCACTCCTGAGAAGAAGGCGGACTCTGTACACCAGAAAGCACGGACCAAGTCACAGCCAGCTGTTGCCCATCAGAAAAACGAGAAAGCAAATGAAGAAAAAGGAAATAATTTAGATGAGGAAGAACTGAAGCAGGTGTACCAGCTCCAGGTAGCTGAAGAAATGGCAAAGGAGATCAAGAAGAAAATAAGAAAGAAACTCAAAGAACAGTTGATGTACTTTCCCTCAGACTCTTCCCTGCATGATGACAAACTGATCAGTGAGAAGAAAAGAAAGAAAAAAAAGAAAGCTCCAGTCCTGTCTAATGCTGAAACGAGGTACATTGTTACATTGATAAATAGAAAACGTCCTCTTAAAAACGATTCTTTCCAACTTTTAAGTGATACCTGTAGTTTCACAAAGAAAATTCTTAAGACTTTCATTTGGACACATTGTCAGTACAGTAATAACAGCTAACCTTACTATGTGCTAAATGCTATATGCGAATTAACTAACCCAATGAGGAATAGGAATAGGAATAGGAATACTATCATTTGTAGATGAGGAAACTGAAGAGTTTGTGTCACAGAACCTGTAAGAAACTGAGCCAAAAGCTTGGCAGTCTTGCTCTAAAATCTCTGACCTTAACTACTCATTTATATCTCCTTTTAAATAGTAGAAACCTAATTACTCCTCCATTTGTCAGTTATAAATGCCTCTTTGGATATGCAAATAGAGCCCTTTTCCCTTAATATACAAATAGCATTTGTTCATTGTACAACACACAGAAACAAAGAAGAAAATGAAAGCAATCCAATCATCCAGAGATAACCACTATTAGCAATTTGGTATTCTATTCTTTTTCTGTGTATGATGCTTATATATGTATGCTTGCATATGCAACGTGAACTTCTGTGCATAAATTCATATAAATATGTCTCTGGGGAAACTAAAATAAAAAACGACCTTTAACTACCATACTTTGTTTTCTGTAGTCCATATTTAGGTAAACAACTTGAGGTGAGAACATTTTGTATCTATTGCCTGGCATACAGGGGCAATTTTCCTTAATGTCATCATCTAAAAATAATTCCCCCCTTATCAGAAGCTAGACAGCCAGTGGTAACAAAGAGTGGGCACATGGAGTTACTACAAGGACATATTAGTGTATTTGTTAGCTACCTGCTGCTGTGGAATGACTCGTACTTGGGTTGTATTTGCAGTGTACTGATCTTGCGTGACACAGTTGAAGGTGAACAAAAGAAGGAAGGTCTGGCTGGAACAGTTACTTCAGATAATCATCACGATGATGAAATAACCTCGGTGGATCAAAATGTGGAAGACAGCGTGCAAGATGACACAAAATCCAAACCAAAAAAAAAGAAAAAGAAGCCCAAAGCAGGTTTGTTATCCAAATGAAATGAAAAAAGTGTGTTCGTGGTAGTAATAACTTGATTTTAGGACTTTCATTTCTTAAAACTAAAGAAAATTAGTCCCAAAGGATATAATCCCAAAAAAAAATTAAATGTATAATATTTGGTACTTGTTCTTGGCTTCACCTAGACTGAAACAGTCATTTATTTGTGACTATGACTTCCTGTGATCAGTTAGTATTACTCGAGTCATCTCTAATTCCTGACTTAATTTAATTCAACTCTAGAAACATTAACTTTGTAGTTGCTATTATAGCAGAGACGATTTCCTCTTTCTGCCATTGAGTGCAGAACCCTAGATAACCCAGCCTCACCGTTGTTGAAAACAGTAAGTGGTCAACAGGCGATGAACATATAGATGACCAGGCTGCGGGCTTGGTCAGACGGGGCGTCGGCCAAACTCCTCAGCCCAAGGCGGCTCTTGTCCTTCTTCTCACTTTTCCTTTTCTCTTCTGGCTTCTGGGCTTCCTCTTTACCCACGTCTTTCCTCCTATTTTCCTTTACTACTACTCTTGCCTTTCTTCTACTTCTTACATTCGTTTTATTGTGTTCAGTTTCCACTTAATGGGCCAAAAATTGGGACTGAAATAGGCAGTTTTAGAATTTGTGATACTTATTCATTGGATTATGCAATTGATGATGTCTTGTGGTTTCTGTAATTAAATTTTAGAAAAGTGTGCATAAGTATACTACTTAGTGAATTTTCACAGACTGAACGTGCCTATAAAATTGTCATCCAAATCGGAAAACAGAACATGGTTCGCACCAAGAAGTCCCCTCGAGTCCCTTTCCATCTCACTGCCCTTCAGCAGCAAACACTGCCTTGAATCTGACACACAGTTTATTTTTGCCTGCTTTTCTATTTTCGCATAGATAGTATCACAAATACTGTGCTCTTTTGTGTCTGGCTTTTTTCACTCAAACTTCTTTTTGTGCAATTGATGCTGTTATTGCACATAGTTCAACTTACTCCTTCTCAGTTGTTTTTGTGCTGTATATATATCCATCATATAAATGTACCACAATTAATTTTCCTGTGGTATTAATGGACATTTGAGTTGTTTCTAGTTTTGGGTGATTACAAATAAAGCTGTAGTGAATTGTCACATCTTTTGGCAGCATATGAATACATTTTTATTTAGCATATTCTTAGGCGTAGAGTTACTGTGTCATGTGTATTTTCCACTTTACTAGGCACTTCCCATTTTCTGGAGTTGGTTTACCAATTGACACTAGCAGTATTTGAGAGCCTGCAGTGCTGTACAACATGTATTTTGTCAGTATTTTAAAATGTTACCCATTTTTAGTTGTGTATGTTTCATTTTAACTTTAATTTGATTTCCATGATAACTAATGAAGTTGAACATATTCTTCATGTTTATTGACTTACTTGGATTTCTTCGTTGGTAAATTTGTTCAAGTCTTTAGTGTATGAACTTAAGAAATTGAATTTGTCTTTTTATTTGTGGAAATGTTTTATATTTCTAGACATCAGTCTTTTCTCATAAATAAATAGGTATGCCCATATATCTTGCAAATATCTTTCCACTCTGGGTTGTTTTACTTTTCTCTTATTGAATCATTTGAAATGTAGAATTGTTAAATTTTATGTAGCTCAATTTATCCATTTTGTTCTTTTGATATTAAGTGCTCTCTGTGATTTATGAAATCTCCCAAGTTCTGAAGATGTTTCTGTATATATTATTCCTGAAAAGTTTTTGTTTTGCTTTTCACATTGGTCAATGCAGTTCATCTGGAATCAATTTTGTGTGTAGTGAGAGGCGGTGGTCAAGACCCACTTTCCTCCATGTGACTAAATAACTGACCTAGTGCCATTTCCGGAAGAGAGGATCCTTTCCCTCAGTGTTGCAGTGTCACTGTTATCATAAATAACATGAGTATGCAAACAGATCCATTTCTGCAGTCTCTATTCTGTTATATTAGACTGTTTGTACCAACACCACCATGTCTTAATTAGCATAACCTGACAATGGGTCTTGCTGTTAGGTAGTGTAAGTTAACTTTCTTCTTCTTCTGTATTGCCTGGGCTACATTTTAACCCTTTGCATTCCCATATAATTTTAAAAGCAGCTTCTCAGTTCTCTCTCCTTCCCTTTCCCCACCCATGATTTTGATTCAGATTGGGTGAATCTAAAGAGACTTACAATATAACAACTCTAAGTACACTTGATATCTTTACAGAGTACTGATTCTTGCCATCCATGAAATTGGTACACATCTCCATTTATTTACACTTCACCTTATCTTTGTAATATTGTAACTTTCAGCAGTGTCTCACTTTAAGATTTATTTCTAGGTACTCAATGTCTCTTAATGCTATCATAAATAGCATTTTTTAAAATTTTGTTTTCTTTTGGGTTGGTCAAAAAGCCTGTATTTTTTTTTCCTGTAAAATAAAAGAGACACATTTTTTATTTTCAACAATAACTTTATCAATGTGTATATTTGGGTATGTTGGCTATCTCCCACGTGGTATAATGTTGATTGTTCTCAATTAATATCTTGATTTGATCCTTGTCAATGTCAGCTGGTCTACCCGACCATGGAGCATCATTCAGTAGAAAATCAGCACGAAACTTCACAGACCACTTTTGACACATTCGATTGGTTGCCGCTCCTTCTCTGTACACTGCACAAATCTATTTTTGCATTTCAGTTGTGTTTTTACCTTTCTTGAAATAATAAAGCATAATATGCCAAAATGTTGCTTATTTTCTTCCATCTTCAATATTAAATGGCTACACAAAAATTCACCAATTTTGATGTTTTTTTTAAATGCATGCTGATATGACAGCTGTCACAATACAGTCTAACAAAAGTGTTTCAAATGAAGTTAAAGACAACTAAGCAGTACTAGAGCCATCTTATGGAATAACCAAATGATCTTTTTGGCCAACCCAATATTTGTATGTTGCTGATATATGTATGTAAAAATATAATAGATTTAAACAAATTTTAACATTTATATTCAGTTTCTTGCTAAATTCATTTATTACTAAGAGTTTATAGATTGTTTTGAATTTCTACATTCACAATCATATCTGGTAATGATGTTTTTTGAAATAATGAACAGATACTGAATTTTGTCGGGTGCTTTTTTTGCATCAACAGGAGTATATAAATTTTTGCCCTTTTTTCTGTTAATGTGATTATTATTGACTATTAGGCTGTCTTGATGGGAGTGGGTGACCCACTGGGTTGTGATGTATTGTCTCTTTAAAAATCTATTCATCTATTGGATTTGATCTGCTGACACTTTGTCTAGGTTTTTTGTATCTGTGGTCATGTGAGAGAATGGTTTGTATATTACCTTACCTGAAATAACCAGAGTTTTTGATATCAAGGTTTTGGTCTCAAAAGTAGATGGAAAATGTTCCATCTGTTTCATTTATCTGGAGGTATTTTATAAGTTGGTGTTATTTCTTCCTTAATTGTTTGGAAGAATTTACTAATGGAAGTTTTTAGGCTGAGGTTTTCTTTGCAGGGAGAATTTTAAATCATTTAATTTATACTAAATATTAGGCTCTTCAATTTTTCTTTCATCAACTTTGCTAGACAATATATTTTGAAGATTTTATCCATGCAATTCAGATTTGTCATTTTTGTATGTCAGAAGACCTGAAAGGGTGGTCCTTGATATTGGTACTTTGTTTTCTCTCGATTTCTTCATCAGTCTTGGGATTTTCAATTTATGAGTTTTTTCAGAGAACCACCCTTCTTAGCTCTGATTCTGTCTGTTGTGCATTGTGTATTATTTTAGTTATTTCTTCTGTCTATATCGTTTCTTTCTACTTTCTTTGGGTTTGATTTGGTGTTTGTTTCTAGCTTTATAAGATGGATTTTATGAAGTTTCAGTCATTATATGCATTTAAGACTTTAAATTTCTTTTTTCTCTATAATGTATGTATGCTGTTTTAATAAGGAGAAGAATTATTACATTAAAAAAGATGATTGGTCCCTTTCCTTTTCCTACACTAAACATGGTGTCATTTTCTTATTCTTAATTTCCAGTTTCCAGCTGTGCATGAGGGGAGATTTCATATTCACTCCAGAAAACAATTCGAAGTAAATAAATACTAATTACAAAACTGACTTTATAAGACTTTGCATTTCTATCTAAATGCTACTTTAGCTGTATCTCACACATTTCTTGAATGCTGTGTCTTCATTATCATTCAGTAAAAATATGTTCTGAATTCCATTTTAATTCCTCGATCATGGATTATTTAAAAGTAGATTGTCTAGTCTCATGCAGTAGGTGACTTTCCTGATTATCTTTATTTTGGTGTCTGTCTGCCATTGTTGTCAGAGAACATTGTGAATTTCAATGTTTTGACTTTTTTGAGGCTTTCTTTATGGCCAGTTTCTGGTCAATTTAGTAAACAATCCATGTGCACTGGAAAACAACGTGAATTCTGATGCCATTGTGTGCAGTGTCCTATGTATGTAAGTTAGATGAAATTTAATGTGTTTAGCTGATCTTACACACTGGTGTTTTTTTTTTTTTTGGTTGTATGATTTGGTCTGCTTACTCTGTAAGTTGAGTCATGTATTAAAACTTCCACCATGATTTTGGGTTTCTCTGTTTTATTGCTGTTAGTTTTTTTTCTTTATACATTTTGAAGATATGCATGCTTAGGATTGTTGTATCTTGCTGTCAAATTGACACTTTTATTGTTTTGGTCTGTTCAGGCTGTTATAACAAAATACCAGAGATTGGATGGCTTAAACAACAAACATCTATTTCTCATAGTTCTGGAGGTCGGGAATTTCAAGATCAGGCATGTACAGATTTGAGTTCTGGTGAGGGTCCACTTCCTGATTGTAGACTAGTGTCTTCTCAGTGTCACCTCACCTGGTGGAAGTGGCAAGGGAGCTCTCTGGGACCTCTTTTATAGGGGCACTAATCCCATTGATGAGCGCGCCAGCCTTGTGATTTAATCACCTCCTAAAGCCCTACCTCCTAATTCTATCACATTGGAGGTTAGGATTCCAATTCTGTCAAAAGTCTTCACTTTTAAAATTATTTTGCTCATTTTTCCCTTTATTTTCTTGAGCATATTAATCATAGTTATTAAAAGTCCTTATGTGCTCCCCTGGCCAGTGTGGCTCAGTTGGTTTGAGCATAAGCCCATAAAACAAAAGGTTGTGGGTTTGATTCCTGGTCAGGGCACATGTCTAGGTTGCAGGTTTGGTCCCTGTTGGAATGTCTACCAGAGGCAACTGACTTGATGTTTTTGTTTCATATTGATGTTTCTCTCCCTCTCTCCCTCTCTCTCCCTCCCCTCCCCTCTCTCTAAAATCAGTGAGCATATTTGTGGATGAGGTTGAAAAGAAGTCCTTGTGTGCTAATCCGATCTGGATTGTCAGTGGGTCAGCTTCCATTTTCTGGTTTTGGTTTTTCTGTTGGTTATTGGTCATATAGTCTTGCCTCTTTTATGCCTAGTGATTTTGTATTGCATGTTGTACATTGTGTGTAGAATCCTAGAGACTCTAGATGATTTGTATCTTTCATCAGAAAGGATGTCCTCTTTCTTCTCTTAGGCAGATAGGGTAGGCAACTGATTTCAATTTCAGCCAGTGAGGAACTACGTTCGGGCTGGGTTGTAGGTTTGGTAAGATTCTGTCTCTGATTTGTCCTGTTCCTAATACGTGGCTTTCCAGGTGTTATAAATTGAGAGCCTGGCAGCTACTTGTTTCCTCAGCCCGGAGAGACTGTGGGAGGTTGAATTGTGCCCTTCAGAGGTTCTCAGCTGAGTCCATTAGCCTTCTGCTGCATGCAGCTTCAAAATGTCTCGAGGGGGAGACTGGCCATGTGTTTGAGGCCCCTCACGTCTTCAGTTTTGTCACCCCAGTCCCCCAGTATCTCTGCTGGTTTCCCTGTCCCCCAGGAGGGGCATTCTACCAGGGGCCACACCTGGATTCTTAACCTCTAACTGCACCGAGAATTGGTAAGTGAGCCCAGGTGAAAAGTGACAGTGGGTATAAATTAATCAGGCCCCCTAAGGCTTCATCTTTGCCTGTTTTATTTCAGGCCCTCTCCCTGCCTGGTCATTGTTTCCAGGTATCAAAAGACTGGGAGATTTCACTCACTCTTGAGCCTCTCCCATAGCTTCAGAATTGTTTTGTGAGGCATGTTGGCCGTGTGTTTACGGCCCCTCAAGACTCCAGTTTTATCACTATAGCCCCATGCAGCCACTACAAGTTTTTTTCATTACTCTTTCACCTGGTAGCCTCCTCTTGCCTGGGCCAAATACTGATCCTTGACCCACACCCTGAATCAGCAAATGTCCCCAGAGGCTATAACAGCTGCCATTCCATCAGCTTACCCTTGAATGATTCTCCTTGCTTCGAAGTTTAGTCCATCTACTACACATTATTTCTGCACTTCTCTGAGTTTTTAAAAAAATCCTTTTGTAATTCATTTGGCTTTTTAAGCTTTTGTTACCAGGAGCACTGATCTGCTACATCCTACTACACCCTGCCCAGAAGCATAAATTACAGTTATAAATGAATGGAATGATATGTGTTCCACTTAGAAAATACCTAGATAAAATTACTTTTAATTTTTGTTCTGTTTTTCTTTTGTTGTCGGTCCTAGTCAGGAAAAAATGAGAAAGATTCCTTATTGTAATACATTAATAAGTGTATTGTTTTACTCTTAGAAGGTAAGTCTGCCATTGTCTGGCTTTTTCTTTCTTTTTCCTTGAAGTGTCTTTATTAACAAAGAAAAATGACCATGGATCATAAAGATTAGGCTATATGAAAATTCAGCTTACGTTGTTGAGTATATTGTTGTGGGAACAATTGATTTGAATATTCATTTTCTTCCATGCTTGTAGTTTCAGATGACAACGAAGACTCTGATGGCGATGACGGTGTGCACGAAATCACAAGTCGGGATAGTCCAGTGTATCCCAAATGTTTGCTTGATGATGACCTTGTCCTGGGAGTTTACATCCACCGAACTGATCGACTTAAGTCAGATTTTATGATATCTCACCCGATGGTAAAAATTCATGTGGTTGATGAGAACACTGGTCAATACGTCAAGAAAGATGATAGGTACTTTTTTAAATTTCACAGCCCACCCTTGAGTTGAAAATGCTCACACTAGGAGTTCTCTTTTCTGCCATTGAAAGTCAGTGCACGTAGGGTTATGGGTTGGTATTGGAGAACAATTTGCTAGTTGTAGGTGTTCCCCAATCATTGATGCTGATCGGTAGGTTTTGTAAAAGAAATGGAGAGCATCTGTTAATTTAGTGATTCATCATAAGTGGAGGGGAGTTGAGGGAGTTTCTGCCAGCCTCAGTGACTCATTTATGACATTAAGCTGGCATTGTAAATCATCTTCTGTTGCACTGTAAATGCATTTGTTTTTCTAACTTCCTGTTTTTGTTTTGAAGTTAATATGTTACCTGGGCCTCAGGTGAGGTAAATGAATTTTGAATTTAATTTTTTTCCTACTATTACTTCTGTAGCTACATGCTTGAAGGCCCAAAGAAAAAGTACAGTAAAATACACAGTTAAACTGGAAAAAAAATACTGTCTTCTTGGAAAGATGGCAAAGATGAGATACATGAGTATTATCAAAAAGGTCATTCACTTATTCAGTTGTCTTAGGGCATACAAAGAAGATATGATACACCTTGAAAGGTTTATAATCCTGTGGAGCTCATTTTCTTATTTAAATTTACTGTATTATGTTATGACAAACTCATTTAAGATTCTGAAGGAGTTACTTTATTCCAGCTTTGCATGCTGAAGGTATAATCATACCTCTCACTTTATATTTCTATAATATCATAATCCTGTGAAACCAACTGATACATATAAATACAAAATAAAGTATTACTACTTCTAAGTCTCATAAAATTTATAATTTTCTAGATGGACTATCAAAGTAATTTTTCCTTATATATTATAGCTATTCATTATTTTTAGTTGCTTCACACTGGATATCATATTTTTATTTTTTCTCACATTCTCAAATTTATGAAGAATTGTGTTAATAGAAGTACCTTTTTTTGAACAGTGAACGGCCTGTTTCCTCTTACTTTGAAAAAGACAATGTGGATTATATTCTGCCTATTATGACCCAGCCATATGATTTTAAACAGTTAAAATCAAGGCTTCCAGAATGGGAAGAACAAATTATATTCAATGAAAACTTTCCCTATTTGCTTCGAGATTTTGATGAGAGCCCTAAAGTCATCTTGTTCTTTGAGGTATGTACATAGAGCATTTTAAACTAAATTTTGGTTATTATAGTCATCCCTTGGTATCTACAGGGGATTGGTTCCAGGATCCTCTGTAGATACTAAAATCTGCTGGTGCCGAAGTCCTTTATATAAAACGGCACAGTATTTGCATATAGCTTATATTTGCATGTAGGCCGCAGCAGAGTCTGTCCACAAATCATTTCATTCACTTTGATTCAGTATAGTTCTCCATGCATGGCAAATTCAAGTTTTACTTTGGGAACTTTCTGGGATTTTTTAAAAAAATATATGTGATCTGCGGTTAGTTGAATCTTTGAATGTGGAACCCACAGACACAGAGGGCCAGTTGCAAAGCTGTTGTTTTAGTAGTTCAGTATACAACCAAGCAGTGTGAAAATTTAACTTCTGTTATTTAGTGTTTGTAATACGCAGTGGAGATACAAGTAATAGCATATTTATTGAGCATTTACTAGTATAAGTAGTTAGTCTTTGGATTTACTCTATTGTTTAATCCTTATGGCAGTGTTGTGACTGTTAACTGAAGTGTTGAATTGGATATGTATCTATGTAATCTTCCATTCTTAAACCATTCACAAAGTGTAAACTCATTTAACAATGTCAGACTCCTGGAGAGTTTGTATACTACTAAGAGAAATGAAGGTGAGCATACACAGATCACTTGACTGCTGCAATGTAATATATAACCGAATGAAGTAGAGCTTCTTAGATGTGAAAAGTCAGTGAAGGGTCCAAGCAGTTAGGAAACTTTTATGGAGTATATGGTCTTTGAGCTGACATGCTATTCTAATTTTTTGTTGCAAAAGAAATCAAGAAGTGTAAAGTGCTTTTTCTCAGTTACTTCAACTTTAAGCGCAGGTGATTTGTATTTAAAGCTAGTTTACACCTAAAAACCACATTTCTTTTAACTAATTCATGTTCTCTCTCCATAAGCAAAGGGAGGTAGAGAACTCCTCTTCCAGTGTCAGCAAAGTGGTGAATTTCAGCAGGTCAAGGACGGCCTGACCAGGACCAGTGACTGGTTTTGTAGAGTTGCTTGTGTTTATAGACTCTAAATTTTAGGTGGTCTGTGAGTGTTTATGAAACAGATATTCTAACATTCACATGTGAGTGTATTATATAATTTATACAAAGCTTTACTTTTTTTTGAGAGCTTTTGTGACTTAGAAATTTGTCATTTACTACTATAATCTTTTATATGCATTTTAGTAATAGAAATTTAAGAAAGATTGTTGGATTATAAATACTTTCAGGTGCTTAAATTTTAACATAATGTGTTATCGTCTACAAAACTGATTTTTATTTCAACTTTTTAAGAGTTTATTGAGGAGAGGTTAATAATAACTACCAGAAGTCTTTAAAACTTACTGTACTTCTAAGTATTTCTCCTCAGGGGAAAAAAATAACAAGTATACAAAGATTTATGTGCAAGGGTATTTATTTACGTAAGTACTGTTTATAATAGCAAAAGTTTCAGAGACAAGTCTTAATTCAGAAAGAGGTTTGGTTAAATAAGTTTTGGTTTATATTAAATTTATGGTATTTATAGTACAAAAGAATACTAGGCAGCCATTGCCATGATAATATACATATGTATGAATTGACTTACATAGATATTCATTATGAAGTGTATCATAATAGTTTGTGCAATAACATTGGACTTGTATTAATATAAAGATACTGAGGAATACTCAGGAAAAAGGCTTAGGTGCACGCGAACCTGTAAACATTTAGATGTTACTGGTGATCATCTCTGGGTCTGGATTACAAGTTGTTTTTCCTTAGTAATATATTTTTCTTATATTATCAGTGTTTTTTATTGAGCATGTATTACATCTGAAGACAGATTTAAGAATATAAAGAGCAGGGATGAGTGGAGTCCATACTATTTTTTCAAAGCATTCTTCTATAAAGATTTGTTACCTCAGCTGAACTTTTGATAAGCACTTTGATAAGTTCAGAGTGATAGTCTTCGATAAGATCCTGGAATACACGTAGTCTCTGTGGAAGGTCGGTTGCAAATTTATGAGCTTTGACATCTAGACAGGATGGGGATGTGAAAGAAATTTTCTTGGGAGACCTAATTACAACTTACATACAGAGAGAAAATCCCCAACCTCACAAAGATGATCCAAGGAAGCATCCAGAGATAGACAAGACCATGAGTTTTTTAAACAAATGGCCCTTCAAAGTCTGCTCTCATTAAAAAACAATCAAAGTTTAAGCATTCTGTGTCTGGTGTGTTTGTGCCTAGACTATATTTGAGGTAATTAGTATTTTCATCTTAGATTTAAAATAAATCTTAATAAAAGATTTATTAATAAAAGAGTGGCCAAAAAAATAGATCCTCACTAACAGTATGAGTTAACTTAAAGGTTAATGAAATTAAATAAAAATGTTTTTCCTCCCTATAAGGAAAACTTTTAAGAAAACATGATTTTTTCATTTTCATAATATATTATTAGAAAATATTAAATTTTAGGTAGACAAGTCTTCTGTAAAATAATTTTTAAAAATATTTATTTATAGATTCTTGATTTCTTAAGCATTGATGAAATTAGGAATAACTCTGAAGTTCGAAACCAAGAATGTGGCTTTCGGAAAATTGCTTGGGCATTTCTCAAGGTATGTCTTTCTTCTGTTTTAAACACTTTTAATGTAATCTTCAAATCTGATGGGCTGCTTTTTTCAAATTCAGTTTGGTTTCATATAAGGAGTTATGATCTCAGGTAAGATTGCAGTGGTAGAGAGTTACTAATTGAAACTCCAGCGATACTCATTCAGATTCTGAAACATTTATTGAGTGCCTAGTTTGTGCCAGGTATGCTGTTTGGCTCTAAGGATACAGCACTGAAAAAGACAGACACAGTCCTGCTGGCATTTACTCAGCAGATGCTTATTAAACCCTTTCTGCATGCCAGTCACTGGTCTAGTCAGTGACCAAAGAGGAGAAACTCCATGGCTCATGGACCTCATCTCTAGCAAGAAAAACACACAAAACAATTGATTACACAATTTCTCATTTATTTTAATTTTCGAACACACTGTGAAGAGGTATGAGAGGGATGATGGAAACAGCGTGTGGGGCCAGAGAAACCTCAGGAAGAGATACTGAACCTGAGTGTTGGCTACATGGTAGCAGTGGGGGAAGGCGGCTCTAAGAGGAGGGTACAGTACGTGCAAAGGCACTGTTGTTGTCAGCAGTGAGGTAGACGCGAGTTCTCAGTGTTGTCCGTAGGGTCTGAACTTTCAGCAAAATGATGTACGTAGGGAAATCAGTTTTATCGTAGGATAATTGATGTAAACAAGAGTTAAGTTCGTATGGCATCCCACCATGTTATGACAAAAAGATGTTTAACGACATGTTATTTGAGGACCTGCTGTACTCGGCCAAAGGAAGGCCACTGGTACTGGAGGACAGAGACTGAGGACAGAGACTGAGGAGGAGTGGCTAACTGAAGAGATTGCTGAGGTAGACAGTGTCTTGATTATACCAGGTCTTCTAAGGCGTTATTGTCACAGAAAGCCAATGCAGGATTTTAAAGAGCTGTGGAGAGCTTTATAGAATTTTAAACAGAAGGATAAGATACACTGATTTATGTTTTGGAAAAACCATTGGGTGGAGAATGGAGTAGAGAGAGTGCAAATATATATGCTGGCAAGTCAAGGCAGGAAATTCGCGCAGCACTCTATGTCTGAAACGGTGTGTTTAGGATAATTCCACAGAGGTAAAAGGCGTGGAAAGATGAACATTTGTAGAAAAAAGAGATTTTAATTTTATAGTTTTTAAATTTCTGGCATTTTTTATTTCTGATTTCAAACATAAATTTGAGTAATAAAAAGTCCTGAGTAATTAACCTATTTTGTACTGTCTTATTATAAAACTTTTCCTTTTGTACACCCATCCATTCAGCAAATATTTGTGTCTGAAATGCTAGGCACTGCCATTATAAAGGGCATTCATAGATAAATTAGACAATGTTCTTGCCCTCTAGTTCAGTTTCTATGTAAATATATTACTTACATGACTGTGTGCTATAGAGCAGATGCTCTGAAAACCCAGGTGAGTCACTGAATCCATGTTGGGGGTGAGAGAGAGGCTTTAGAAGAGGTGCAGTCTGGCTGCCCAGTGGCAGTCAGGTCGGCCATGATGAGGAAGTAATCTACAGTGAACTTGGAAATCACTTGCAGTGTGTTTTTTAAAATCACCCTTTTATAACCCATTATTTCTGTGCCCCTCTACACTGAATAAGAGGGGGGGAAACAAAAAATAAAACCCTTAGAAAGGTCACTTTCATATAGTAAGCATTGCTTTCTTGTGGTCTTATTAATCATTCTTTTAATGCTGAGGATTGTGTAGAACTTCAGTATTTCCTGTAAGCTGCACTTGGGAAACAGAGCTGTATTTCATAGCATTTTTGCCTTTAAATGTCATGTAGATTTTAATTTATCTATTACATACCATTGGCAGAAATGGCAATCAGGAGTTCTCCTGGCCCCACCCCCTGTAAAGGGTAAGATATTCTGTGTACTAGACTGTAGTAACACTTAAATATCTCCCTCATGAGACTAAGCTTTTCAAAGTCAGCAGTGCCTTCTTCTTGGCAAATTTGTTAAACATTTTTTGTTTTATTTCACCAAATCTCTTTGCGTTTAATATATATCACTCTCTTGAACCTCTGTATTTCATAATATCACCACCTCCTGGCATATTAGTGCTTCCAGCACATAAAGTGTTTAGTGAGTATCTATTGACAGAATTAATAAATGTATGGAAACAGTGACTAGGAAAAAAATCCATCTTTGACAAGGTGGCATGAATCACATTAAAATTTTATTGTTTTAATACCCATACCATTGGTTCCAGGAATGTCTTAGGTAATTGTAAAGTTATTATAGTGGTCCATGTGAACTCCAAAGGAACCTTGTCCAGATATAAATTTTTGAGACTTCATCAAAATTCTCAGGTAGAGGCACTCTTAGTTCTTTTAGCACATATGTATGTATCTATTCTTTTAAGCATTATAAATTATAGTATATATCATGTAGCTCAGTTACTTGGAGAGTCATCCAGTAAACCGAAAGGTTGTGGGTTCAGTTCCCGATCAAGGCACATGCCTCGGTTGCGGGTTCAGTTCCCAGTTGGGGAACATTCAAGAGGCAGCCAGTCACATCTGTCTCTCATATCGATGCTTCTCTCCTCCTCTCTCTCTCCCTCCCTTCCCCGTCTCAGAAACCAGTGACATGTCCTTGAGTGAGGATAAAAAAAGTACTGATACTAAACAATGGAAAATTTGTTTCCATGTTTAAATAGTATGCATTTGATCTTTATCATTATTTTCTCAAACAAAGATATATTGATCCCTTTCTGTGTGCAAAGTAACATCTACACAGAAATATAAATGCTTTACCAACAATCTGAAGTTGTATAGGCAAAAAGACAACTATCAGGAAAATGTTTAAAAAGTCATTTGGGTTACCCACTGTCAAAGTGATTTGGAAATGTGGTTAGCCAACTATGTCAGAGTTCTTTGCTTTATAATCTAAGGAATTTCCACATGCCATATTAATCTTTTTAAAATGAGTTTTTGACTATATATTATTGCTTTATTGAATTTATTTCCAATGAAGGTAAAATTTTATTTGAATTCTTCTTTTAAGCTTCTAGGAGCCAATGGAAATGTAAACATCAATTCAAAACTTCGCTTGCAGCTCTACTACCCACCTGCTAAGTCTCGATCCCATTTAAATGTTGTTGAGGTTTTTGAATGGTGGTCAAAGTGTCCCCGAAATCGTTATCCATCAACGTTGTACGTAACTGTAAGAGGATTGAAAATTCCAGAATGTGTAAGTTAAGAGCACACGTAAATATATATCCTCTGTTGAGATTAAATGGTGACATGTTTTCCAGTCCTAAAAATATCTCTAGAATTATTTTAATAGATCTGTAGAATAGAAAGTTACCTTCAGAGATTATGTATTGATCCTGTAATAGCTGATACTTAAAAGATAATTAAATGAATTTTAAATAATAAATGTAGATTTCATTGTTAAGGAAAATGTTTTTAAAAATAATACTGTTTTTTAAATATTACAGATAAAAGTGCTATAAAACAAGAGCTGAGAAGTATTGTTCAGAAAGGATCAAATAGTTAATATTTTAAGCTTTTCAGGCTATACAGTCTGTTGCAATTACTCAGCTTTGTAGTGTGAAAGTAGCTATATAGACATACGTAGGTGATAACAAAACAGTTTGAAAATGTGTTCCAGTAAAACTTTATTCACAAGAACAGTCAGGATAGATTTGGCCTGGGCCATAGTTTGCAGACATGATTTACAGGCACATTTTCACAATATTATTTAAAGAATCAGTAAATGATGTTTTTACTAGTGTTTTTCATAGTTTAAATTTATAATGATCTTAGCAAAAGTTTCACCTAAAATGAGGTGAAACTTCTGCTTTTGTCTTATTTGCTATAGATCTTTCAGGTCAGTTGCGTATTCTGTAGTTGGTATTATAAACTGTGACCACAGAGTTGGCTTGCGTTGATTTGAATGCAGTTAAATCTGTTTTTAAGAAGTGGAAGATTTTTAAAACTTTAGATTTTAATAACAGGTTTGTGATATTAAAACCAGAGATAGCACAGCACATCAGAGCCGTGCCATAACATCTGGTAGGTGTTGGTGAAGAGACAGAAACAAAAGAACAGAGTTGTTAAAACAATTTCATGTTACCAATCAAGCTCTACTTTTTTCTTCTAACTTCTAAGGCTATTTGGTTAGTAATTTTAAACAACTCTCTTCTTATTTAGAATAACGTACACATGAAATTCGAATTTTTTCTGGATTACATTTTGAAAACATTTTCATTTTGTTGGTTTCAATATTTTAAAAACCATCTGTGGTAGAAATGAGAAAAAATTAACACGATATATAATTTTCTCACTTTCTGTACATATGTAGGTAAAGCCATCTTACCGTCCAGCAATGGCTCTTCAGGAGGAAAAAAGTAAACCAGCGTATTGTGAACAACACCATGAGTCAAGTTCAGCAGACGCAGAACCTGGGTTGGAAGATTCCAAGGAAGTAGTAAGGTGGAAGCGGCTGCCAGGGCAGGTGAAGTGTTTGCTAGCACTGGATTCACTTAGATATTTCCTCCTTTAGCACTCCAGCAACTCCTAGGGCAATAGATTGCTATTTAAAACTCTCAGAGTATGCTTGTTTTTAACCACAGTATTGTCTTTCCAATAATTCATTTGGCAAGTAGTAATAGAGTCATTACCATTTGCATAAAAACACTCTCTAGGTTGTTTGTTTAGAGATGTGAGCAGTTTTTTTACTTTGCTAGAGCTACCGTGAAAAAATACCGCAGCCTGCTTGACTTAAACAGCGGGAATTTGTTTACTCATAGTTCTGTGGGCTGCAAGTCCAAGGCCAAGGGTGGCAGGGTTGGTTTACCCTGAATCCTTTCTCCTTGGCTGACAGACAGCTGCCACCCTCTGCCCTTTTATGGTCTTTTCCCCCTGCCCTGTATTTTTTCCCCTGTGTGTTTTCCTCTTCTAATCATGACCTACCCCAAAACAAAACAGAACAAAACAAAAACAAAAACCTTCATTTTAACTTAACTGGCTAGCTAAAGAACTTATCTCCAAACACTGTTACCTTCTGAGGTACCAGAGTTAGGCTTTAACAAATGCATTTTTGGGCACACAGTTCAGCTCATAACAATAGATAGTTTCTTATGTGTGTAAGAGGTGTGTTTCCTAATTGATTTATTATTAAAAATTTGATTTTTAAAAAATGGATTCATGAAATTTTTTGTAGAGTCTGGCTTCTTCCTGAATCACATTTTGATGGCGATATGTACCTGTCTATTTTTTACTACAAGTTAAGCAGTATTTAAGCTTTCACTAAATTTTTCTTGGTTAGCATATCTTGCAGTAGCAAGAAGTATTTCAGATGCAGTTTTGTAAATCTGTTACTTGTTTCCACAAAGAGGAAGAGGGGCTTATTTTCTTTGTATAAGCCAATACCAGTGCAGTTTATTTAAAATCTTAATTTATGTAAACACTCAGTATATACATAAGAATGATTGTTTTCCCAGACCTTCTCATTTTCTGAGTTTTGCATAACATTTGACTTTTTTTGAGGCTTTTTACAGATCCGTCTGAATGTCACTTAAAATGCTTTAGACATATTAACATGGGGAGGACAGCACTTACCCTGTGCTCTGGGGACCTTTCACATCTGCTGGGGCAGCAGAAACCAGTGCCCTTCACTGTCAGGTGTGCTGCAGGGAGTTCTGGAGGAAACACAGGCATAGAGACAATTTTACAGATGAGCAGCTCTCAAAGTGTGATTCGGGAACTGTAGGGGTCCTGAGACCCTTTTAGGGAGACTATACAATCAACTTTTTTCATAATGGAATCATAATGACTTTAATAATTTTATAATGATTTGGTTTCTTTTGTACTTTTATTCTCTCATAAGTCTACAATGAAGTTTTCCAGAAGTTAAATGATATGTGATATAAGTGATGAAATCTAACTACCTTTTATGAAGCCAGATATTAAAGAGATTTTAAAAAATGTAGAACAATTTCATTTTATATAGTTATTTTTCATTAAAAGACATAGTTATTTTTTAAATGAATTAACAGTGTTTTAATGTATCAATTTTAATTTCTAGTATGATAAATAGCCATGTATGTATCCACATATACAGAATTTTTGGGGAGGTCCTCAAAATTTTTCTGAAACTGTAAAGCATCTTGAAACTAGAATATTTTGAGAATTGCAGGAATGGAGAAGGTGAGCTGGAGTTGCAGAAGATGGGTTTATTTTAATGGGCTGGTGAATTTGAGTTAGACTTTAAAAGATGGCCAAGTTGGGGGTAGGTGAAGGGTAGGAAAAGGTATTTCATATGGGGGCCACATTGTAAATAAATGGGACAGTACCTGCTGTATTCATTAGGCACTCAAAACTTGACGGGCTGGAAATCATCGTTTGTATGAGGTTGTGCACAGACTGGGCAGGCTCATGTTGTGGAGTGTCTTGAATAATAGCCTAATACTTGATTGTGTGGGATACGAGAAATTAATGAATGGTTTTGGGGTAAGAGAGAAGTATGGTCTCAATATTTTAGGACAGATTAATGCTGGCAGTGGCATGTAATGCTTGAAGTTAGTATACATCCGAATGAGAGAAACCCACCAGAGGGCAGTTGCAGTCGTTGCTGTGAGGTGAAGAGGGGGTAATGGTGGCACAAATGCAAAATAAGAGAGGAAAACAAGGAAGAAAGAATGAACCAGCATAATTTAGTGACTGACAAGGTGGTAAAGAAAGGGAAGGAGTCAGAGATGTTGAAGCCCTTTATCAATATTAAACTTTCATTGGCTCTTCTAAGTACAGTGTCAGGCCCTGGGAATGCAAAGAAAATGGTTGTGGCTTCAGTAACTTTAGCTTAGGTGGTTCGGCCAAGTTTCCCTCATGTCCATTTCCTGCTCTAGGAGCAGCAGCAACTGATTATAAAACCTCCTGATTTTTCCTTCCATTTTTTCCTCTTTTAATCTCCTCTTTTCAAAGTTGTCTGGATAGAGAATGGAGGGGGAAAATGCGTAGCATGGTGTCTGGTACATTATTGTCACCTAATGTCTACTCAGTTTTCCACCTTCCAACTAGCTACTCACTCCTAATGCTGCCTCCTAATAATGCTGCTAACTCTTGATGCTACTTGGGAAGAACCTGGTACCCATCTAGAATGCAGGCCCTTGAACTACTAGTCTCTGACTAGGCTCATCAAGCTGGGCTTGACCCTCTGAATAACGCTTCTTAGCTCTATATAGTAATAATGGTTATTCATGGGGTTGCTGTGATGAATATATGAAAAGATATGTAATAAAGTACCACATTCTTGGCATATAGTGAGGGCACAGTATATGTTTAATTGAACATTTTCTACAGTAGGTATATTAGTACATTAAAAGTTTTGATTTCATCTGGTAATAGGGAATGAACACATAAAATTATGAAAAATTTTAATAAAATTATCGAATCATAAACCAATAAGAAGTAAACGATTACTTTGAAAATACATTATGGAAGATGGTCACAAATGATGGTTATTTTAAGAGAGAATGAATAGTTATGCATCCTGGGCTTAAGCTAGGCCCTGAAGGGATTTTACCATCTTAGAACAAGTTTATGGTTCAGCAAAAATCGCGTTATTAGTTGGTGTTTGGGGATAAGGGTGTGACGTGTGTGTGTGTGTGTGTTTGTGGGGTGATACAAAAACTATATGGTAGTGACAGCTTTAGAGTATAAGATACTGAAATTTTCTACTCATATTTTAGGTGAATTAAGTACCAGTTAGATATGGAGTACAAATCCACTTAATCTTGTGGAGAACTGATTTTCTCTTTAGAAAGTCTATGCTTTTCCATCATTCTGCTTACTTTTCATCACTGTAAAGGGACTTAAAAAACACCTGCAGTAATTAAAATTTAAAGCTAGACTTCATCTTTTAACGTTTCTTAATTTGTTTTTAAAATGTATGTTTTTTAGGCTTGCCGTATCCCAAACAAGCACCTCTTCTCACTAAATGCAGGAGAACGAGGATGTTTTTGTCTGTCTTTCTCTCACAATGGAAGAATATTAGCAGCAGCCTGTGCTAGTCGGGATGGATATCCAATTATTTGTGAGTATTAATCCTGTTTGTTTAATTTGATCAAAATCTTTATGGAGGACATTCTTTGTTTTTTGTTTTTTGTATTTTTTAAAAAGATTTATTTATTTATTTTTAGAGACGGAAGGGAGGGAGAAAGAGAGAGAGAGAGAGAAACATCAATGTGTGGTTGCTGGGGGCCATGGCCTGCAACCCAGGCATGTGCCCTGACTGGGAATCGAACCTGCGACACTTGGTTCATAGCCTGCACTCAATCCACTGAGCTATGCCAGCCAGGTCTCTGTTTTTTAAAATTCATTGAAATTTTAATTCCCCAGCACTACTAAATTAAATAGATTTTTTCAAGTAAAGTAACAGTTCTTTTTAATAATTTTATACTTTTCTATGCAGTATGTTTTCCACAGTAAAATTTTACATTTTTATATATAATATGTTTTCAGAAGTAGAGTGAAGGGTGGTAAATTATTTTAAAACATGCAGGTGGATTTTATGAAGCATTTTGTGCTTTAAATATAGAAATTTAGAACCATGAAGGATAATACATCTCAGGAGGATTTTAATTTTAATGTGGTCAGTTGATAGCAGTGATAATTTGAGTGATGAAAGCCCTCGAATTTGTTATGCACTAGAAAAATAGTGTTTGGGTCAGTAGGACCTGAATTAAGACTTCTCATTATGCAGCCACTGTGGAAAACAGTGTGGAATTTCCTCAAAAAACTAAAAATGGCACTGCCTTTTGACCTGGCAATACCAGTGCTGGGATTATACCCTAAGAATCCTGAAACACCAATTCAAAAGAACCTAAGCACCCCAATGTTCATAGCAGCACAGTTCACAATATCCAGGTGCTGGAAGCAACCTAAGTACCCATCAGTAGATGAGTGGATCAAAAAACTATGGTATATTTACACAATGGAATACTACACAGTGGAAAGAAAGAAGGAACTCCTACCCTTTGCAGCAGCATGGATGGAACTGGAGAGCTTTGTGCTAAGTGAAATAAGCCAGGCAGTGAAAGACAAATACCATATGATCTCACCTTTAACTGGAATCTAATCAACAAAACAAACAAGTGAGCAAAATAGAACCAGAGACATGGAAATAAAGAACAGACTGACCAGAGGACGGGGAGGGAGATAATGGGGGAGAGAAGGGAAAGGATCATCAAGGAAATGTATAAAGGTCCCACGGACAAAGCCAAAGACGGGGGAGGATTGAGGAGGGGGGTCAGTGGTGAAAGTGGTGGTGGGAAAATGGAGACACCTGTATTCGAACAACAATAAAAAAATGATAAAAAATACAGGAAACTGTTAAAAAGAAAAATTTTATCTGTGTCTTAAAGATTTTTTTTTAATTAAAATGAGCACTACACTCTTCTAGACTTGGAGGCTTTATTACTTTCCCGTACTTCTTGCTTGTAATAAAAACCAGCTCACCTCAGCTCCTTATGGGCATCTGTCCTAGGCGCCAGATTCTCTTGGACTTTCCTCAGCCTCTCACAGTTCTTCATTGATTTGTTTTTTTTTTTTTCAGCAGGAACTTATAATTGGCTTGATTAGCATTTGTTAAATAAATATTCCTTCTGATGAAATGATGTTAGCTTTAAGAAATACAAAATTATTTGTATATTTTGATTACAGCTCTGCTACTTCAAAAATTCACTAAAACCTATACATGGGGGAAAAAAGATTCTTAGGAAACATACTCCAGAATATTAATAGTGATTTCTGTCTTTGGGTAGTGAAAGAATTTATTTTTATTTATGTTTTCATCATTTCTGTGGTAAATATGTGTTACTTTATGCTTAAAAAATCTTGTTCAAAATGGTATATAAATTTAGTTTTACTTATTGCTTAAACCTTAAAATACAGAAGAATCTTTTTGATTCTTGATTATGTCATGTCTCCTTAGAATTTGTTTCCTTGTAGGATGTGCTGATTGATGTTTTTCACAAATTTAAGGTTTTTGTCTTTATTTCTTCAGATGTTCTTCCCGCCCCTTTCTGTTTCTTCTTTTCTCGAGGGACTCCTGTCATTTCTGTGTTGGAACACTTGGTGGCATCCCCCAGGTCTCTGCAGCTCTATTTGGTTTTCTTCGTTCTTCTCCTTTCTGACCCTTAGACTGCAAAATGTCTTCATGTCTTGATTCTTCTGTTAGTTCAGATCTTTGAACATACTTATAAGAGTGGATTTAAAGTCTTTGCCTAGGAAGACTAATGTTAAGGCTTCTTCATGAACAGTTTCTATTGACTGCTTTTTTTTTCCTCTATGTATGGTCAGACTTTTCTGTTTTTTCATGTCTCCATAATTTTATGTTGAAAACTGTATTTTCATTATTGAAATGTGGCAGCTCTGGTAATCAGATTGGCCCTTCTTCCTCTCTGTCTACATAATCGAGATGTTATTGTTTTTTAAAAATCTTTTAAAAAATTATTTATTTTAGAGAAAAGAATGGGGAAAGAGAGAGAGAAAAAAAATCAATTTGTCGTTCCACTTATTTACACATTAATTGGTTGCTTCCTGTATGTGCCCTGACTGGAGATTGAACCTACAACCTTGTTGTATCGGGTGACAATAATCAAGTGAGGTACATGGCAGGGCCAGGATATATTGTTGTTTAGTTTGTTACATAACTTTTCTGAACTAATTTTGAATCTTTTGCCTTCGTCATGTGTTGCCACTGAAGTCTCTGCTTGGTTAGCTTAGTAGTCAGCTAGTGGTTAGAGAGAGATTTTTTTTTTAAATGCCTTGAGCGAATAGCTCTCCCAGTGTTTGCTGAGGGGCTCTGTGAACGTAGCATTGGGATACACTTTCAGTTCTTCAGCCTTGGCCTTCGCTTCCTCTTTGCACAGAGCTGCCTCAGGTCCGCCAGACTGAGACAGGGCCTCTCAGGTCTTGATTGGGCAAGCACACAGCCTTTCAGGAGCGTAGGTCCTAGATTCCCAGGAATATGTTCAGTTTTTCAAAGTCCTCTGTGGACATCTCATTCCCAGTTTTTTCTTTTTAAGCTTTTTGGTCAACCTCTGCTTAGCCCCAGCTGGTGTCACTGCCTCAGATAGCTGGGCCACTGCATTATCTACATGAACCTAGGGTTAGGACTGTTCACACAGAGCATGCAAAGAGTGAGGTTGAATAAGGCCAAGCCCTGAAAATGGAGCTTTCAAGAACCTGCCATGTCTAATAGTGGTAAGTCTTAGGGATGGGGCTTTGGGGCACGTCAGACCTCTTCTGCCCCATCCCGTGACTGCCAGGCTGTGGGTTTTCATTGTAGGTGCAAGGCTGTTGGTTTTTAAGGATGCTTTGGAGCTGGGGAGAGGGGAATGGGAAGGAACAAGGGGAGTTAAAAGATACCACAAAGCTCAATGTTCTTACCGAGATTCAGCAGTTTTTCTTGAATAAATCCTCAGATTGTTGCAAGCCTTTGTTTAATTTCCAGAGTTCTGAAAGAGTTACTTACTTTTCCCTGTTTTTTTCCAGTGTTCTCATTGCTTTTATGGGGGTGCATATTTTTTGAGGTCCTTAATTTGCTATGCCAGAAGCACTCCTGTACTGCTTAGTATTTTATTTTATGTTATAATTGTTTTATTGTTGTTCAAGTACAGTTGTCTGCATATACCCGCCACCACTCCCCACCCCGCTCCACCACCCCAGCCATCCCCACCTCCCTCCACCACCAATTCCACCCCACTGTGGTTTGGTTTGAGTCCTTTATAGTTGTTTAGTATTTTAAAGGCAATTGGTTTGACCACTAGGTGGAAGTAGAGACTTGGAAACGTTGTTGTTACCAACTTAGATCAGTAATTTTCAAACCAGTGTGCTGCAAGAATTTTTAAAACATGCAGTACCGACTAGTTTAGTCAGGGGCACTGGCTGCTTTTCCCTTAGATTATCAAATAAAAATATGGTAACAGCCAACACAATAATAGCCATCCAGTGTGAATAAATCAAAATTATCTCTCTTTTTTTGGACAGATTAGCACAAAATGTATTTTGGTGTTTTGCAAAATTTTAATTAGTTTATAGGTGCCATGAGATGAAAAAGATTGAAAGTCACTGTCTTAGATGATTTTATTGTATACATTAACATAGCAAAACTACAGTGTTTATTGGACTGGGTCTCTGTTAATTCCTTACTACATCTATAATTTTAGTATTAGAGTTTTTTGCTGACAGTAGTACAGTTTAAATTTCCTGTTTCTTCGAATAAAATTTTGGTTGGAATTTAATCCGTTTTCAAGTAAAATAATACCTTTTTAACCAAAACCCAAATTATAGAGTCTTTGAAGTAAATTGCAATTTAAATGTTATTTATTATATGATTAATTAATTGACTATCAAAGATTATTAGAAAAGTTGTTTTGGAGAAATGAGAATAATTGTTAATTGTAGCATATTACAAAATTTTATGTTTGTAAATTCTTGTGTCTAAAGCAAGTGAAAACTGTAAGTAGTTTTTGAAATTTTTTACACTGAAAACCTTTGGTGATATTCTTACAGACAGTGCTTACTTTGTGTCCAAGCTATTATAAACTGTGAATTTGTATGTTACTGTATTGAGGATCCTCTGTCTGGAAACTTGCTGATGTTTGAATATTTTCCTTAGTGTACGAAATCCCTTCCGGACGTTTCCTGAGAGAATTGTGTGGCCACCTCAATATCATTTACGACCTTTGCTGGTCAGAAGACGATCGCTATATCCTTACTGCATCCGCTGATGGCACTGCCAGGTGTGTGCTGCTTGCCAGCCAGGAAGGCAAAGAGAATAGTAATTGATAGAACTACTCATGCTTCAGTTGTGTTTTGCCTATCAAGAGATTGTCATGAATATGCATCAGATAGGCTGACTGATTAAACAAGTAGTAGTGAAAACTTTCCTTGAAGACATTTTTGTAAAATATTTTGTTTATGTAATATGTAGTATTTCTGGTCTTCACTATCTTTAAATGATCGTCATGCACGCTGTTCGATTACTACTTTGAGACAGTGTCATTAAACAACTGAGATTTTTCCTAGAATGTAAGCTCTGGATGTTGGGGATTCCATCTTCACTCTCAGCTAGGTGCAGAGGCCAGGCCACGGTGATGCTTAGTAAATAAATGAACATGCACCTTATGTTTTAAGAGCTTTATAGATAGTAAGTATTTGCATTTTTCCAAATGTCAGTCTTAAAATAACCCCTTCCTATTTAATGTGCCACATTAAAATATTTTAAAAGCTATTTTTTTAAAGTTTCAATTTATGCTTTTTGTAGCTGCTTGATCTACCTTGATTGTATTCTAAAAATATTTTGAGGCAGCTGTTGAAGATGCTTTTATATATGTCCTTTAAATTTGATTTCAATGAATGATATTTATTATCTCTACAGAGTAGGAAACTGACATTTAGAGCAGTTCGAGATCTGCTCTGATTTCACTCTTACTTACACTTCCTGTTCTTTAAAACACACTTTTTTACAGACACTTCTAGTGTCTGGGTCTCTTTTTCTATTAATCTTACCAGCTTCCTTTTTGATATATACTGCCCAATTAATTAAGATATTATTACTGTTTAGTTTTTAGTTAAATGAAATTGATGACAACTGGTGACAATTGATTTTACCTCTCTGTCTAGCTGGGAATCTACTATTAGTCCCTTTTAATAGCCTCAAGAATAGCAAAGGCATTGTCAGATGCCAGGTTATGCTAGAGAAAAATATATAACCTTGCTAAGACCTGACCGTGGTCTTAGCAAGTTCTCATCTCCGCTGAGCAGTGCTTTTATTGGTCTCTGTTCAGCTCTCTTTTCTCATCCCTCTGGCAGCAGATCCACACCTTACCACGCTTCAAGTTCAGTACTCTAAATCATAATCTTCCCACTTTCATTAGATGACTGCCTTCAATTTACAGTGAAATTTAGCCAGACATGAACTTGCTATATTTTCTTCTGATTTCCCATCTAATATCTGTAAACTTACCCATCTCTATCTCTATCCATTTCTCTTAACAAGGAGGTATGGTTATAGACACCTTTAAGGCTGATTTTGTTCTGTGCCTTTAATCCCAGTCCTTTCATCTATATTTCTGTTAACTTCTATTTCCCACACCTCTTGACTCTGTAGTATCATTCTCTCTGTTGATTTTGTCCTCTTATCTTAGAAATACAGCATATGCAGCTTCCAACCATAAATTGAAAATACAGTTTCAAAACCAAGTTTAGAAAGGTATATATGTGGACCATCTCGGTTCAAACTCGTGTTGTTCAAGGGTCCACTGGACGCTCAGATCTCCTTATCTTTAAAAAGTCTTTTTCTCAGCTTGTTCTGCCTTTCAGCTGCCACATCATTTTTTTTTCTACATCATCAAGAGCATCTAATACAATTGGCTTTGCTTCAACCCAGTTAGTCTGGCTGTCACTCTCACCATGCTGTATAAATGTTCTTCAAGAAGTCAGCAGTTACTTGCTACTTTTAAGGTGCATTTGCCAGTTTCAGTTCTTACCCTGTTTGCCTTCACTGAAGTATTTAATCATTGACCAGTCTTGAAATATTTTCAACTTATGGTTTTTATTGACAACCTCTTTTGTTTTCTTTTTAGGACTCTGAACAATTCTCATTCTCTTTCTTTTTTTTTCTTTCTAGCTTATTGATTTTCTTTTTTCTTTTTTTTATTATTGTTCTGTTACAGTTGTCCCAGTTTTCTCCCATTGCTTTCCCCTGCCCGTGCCCCACAGACCTGCTCCCAGTCAATCCCCACCCTGTTCTCCATGTCCGTGCGTCATTTATACCTGTTCCTTGACTATACAAACAAATGAGCAAAATAGAACCAGAGGCATGAAAACAAGGAACAGACTGACAGCGACCAGAGGGGAAAGGGGAGGGAGATAAGAGTGGAAGAAGGGGAGGGGCCGTTCTCTTTCTTTAGTTCTTTTCCTTTCCCTGTTCTCTGTAGTTGTTTATCTTCAAGATTCTTTACTTGGATTGTCTTCCCTGGTTTGGTGTGCTTTTCCAGGCCTCTCTCATCTTCCCTTGCTTTGAATCTTACTTATATGCTAATGACTTCTAGCTTTCACTTTTTTCTGAGTTTGACTTTCTTTTGCACACTTCTATCTGGATAGTACAGTGGCACCTCAAGTCCAAAACCAGACTTACCAATATCACCAAATTTGGTCTTCCTCTTTCAGTCCTCTTATTTTATATATAAAGATTTTATTTATTTATTTTTAGAGAGAGGGGAAGGGAGGGAGAACAAGAAGGAGAGAAATACCAATGTGTGGTTCTCTCCTGTGTCCCATATTGGGCATTTGGCCTACAGTCTAGGCATATACCCTGACTGGGAATCAAACCAGTGACCCATTGCTTCACAGTCCAGTGCTCAATCCATTGAGCCACACCAGCTAGGGCTTTGTTAATACTATATATTTTTAATAACTTCCTTATCTGGGAATCAAGAGTAGTACTAATTTCTTCTTTTCTTTCTACCATTTATTTCTATATCTAAGTAATACTAAAGTCTCTCAATTCTCTCTTGTAAAAGAATCACCATCCTATCATCCTTTTTATCCTCACTGCTGTCGCCTTAATTCATGGCCTTGTTATCTCTTGCTTAAAATGATGCTGCTGCCCTGGCTGGCACAGCTCAGTGGATGAGGTGGGCTGCGAACCAAAGGGTTGCTGGTTTGATTTCCAGTCAGGGCACATGCCTAGGTTGCAGGCCAGGTCTCCAATGGGAGCCACATGAGAGGCAACCACATATTGATGTTTCTCTCTATCTCTTTCTCCCTCCCTTCCCTTCTCTCTAAAAATAAATAAAATCTTTAAAAAAATCCCTCTTAAAAAAAATGATGCTGCTAAACTCTCCCAGTGTTCAGTCTTCAGCCTCCCACATCTCTAGCCTCTTCCAGTACCATCTTTCATAAATACCTTGATTTAAAAATCTTTGACTACCACTGCCCTTTGGAAAATGTTCCAGTTCCTTAGGATGGCATGACAGGCTGTCCCTCATTCAGGCTGGCCTTACCTTCCTTGGGCACTTCCCATGTACCCTCTGCCTTACCCACACAATCTTTTGAAATACCGTTAACAACTTTTTTGGCATCTCCACTCCATTACCTTACCTATTATTCTATGCTTAAATGCCCTTCCTGCCCAACTCTTTCACTCCACATAGTGGGCTCACAGCCATCACTTAAAACCCAGCTCAGATTTCATCATTTCGTGAAGCCACCTGGGACTTCCCCACACAACATATAATAGTAGTAAAGTACACTTTTTACTTTATGTAGCTTTGAAATTGATACTAAGTTAGGACTCTTTACATCACGAAAATACTATGGTGAAGGATTAACTAAGTGAAGGAAGAAGCATTGTGGCTAGAATCAAAAAGGCAGTGAGGTTTTGAAAAAGGTAAGGAAAGGGCTGCAGTCAGAAGGAGAGAAGGAGCTGTTCATGCTCCAAAGTGGCAGAAGTATGGGTTTCTGCCCGTGTCTTCTCTCTGTCTTCCTTGGGATCGCTGTCACATGTTACCCTTAGTGTCGCCTGAGTGACTCTTTCCTGCTGGTTAGCTGTCTGCCATAAGGGCTTAACCTAAATCCCCCTTTTTAGTTGTCTTCAGTGTAATCTGTATTTTTCCCCACATCAACAGTTCCTAATGTAATCAGAAAGAATTTTCTCTATGTAATGGCTCCCAAATAGGCCTTCCCCCCTTTATATGTGCTGTTTTAACTTTGGTACGTTTTTCTTTCCCAATTCTAGTAATGTTTTATAGATAACTAGTCTTTACAACTTTGTGCTCCTTCTTTTCTGTCCATAATTCGCCTGATATTTTCCAAAATCCACTCATACATTTGTTTTGATCTTGGATTCTACCATTAATTGGGTGACAAAAGCCACCATTGATACCAGTTTTGTTTTTACATAAAAAGCTTCATTTTTATTTTAAAATATTATATATATTTTAGTTATTTTGAGCTGTTTTAAAAATATGATGGCTTCATTTGTGCCTATATTTCAAATAATGCTGTTAAGATTCATTAGCAAGCAGCTGAAGTTTTTATCTTTTAACAATGTTTTTCTTTTGTTTTTAATATATAATCTTTATTATATTTTTTCCATTACCACTTAGTCCCCTGTAACAATCTTAAAATAGCTCCTTTAAATTAGTGATTTTGTTCTTTCAATAAATACTGTATTTCATGTAACATATGTTCATTGAAAGTATTATTATGGTTAAAATGTTTATGCTCTGACACACATGCTTTATTTTTACTTGAAAACATGTTCTTTCACTTCCTTCATTATTAGTTTGGATTCTTAGTAATTGAAGATCATATCCTGTATTTTAAGCAGCTGTTGAGACAATTCATTGAATACTATTCTTGAATAACAACTGTAATTTTTTCTTTTATTGATAATTTTGTAAAGGACTTAATTTTCTTTAGTTCCTAGGCAGTAATTAAAAGAATGAATTGTGAATCCCTGTATTGAAAGATTAATGTATTCTTCAAACCCTAGTAACTTCAGCTTTTAAAAATCCAATATTCCACACTCACATAGCGGCTATGTATTGCTATTGCTAGGTTTTGTCTGTTTTTACACAATCACTAGAAATGTAAAGTATCTAACATAACAGTTTAACCCTTAGGGTTTACTCTTTTGTCAAGACTGTAGCAATAACAATAATACTAATTTTTTAATTGTCCATTATTTAGAGCAGGATGTCAAACTCATTTTCACCAGGGGTTGCATCAGCCTCGTGGTTGCCTGCAAAGGGCAGAAATAATTTTAGGACCATATAAATGTAACTATTCCTTAACTGTTAAGGAGTTGAAATTACATTCGACATTTTGAAGGCAACCACGAGGCTGATGTGGCCCCGGTGAAAATGAGTTTGATGCCCCTGATTTAGAGGAAGAGATAATTAAGAGTGTTAACACCAAGTGAATATTTAATATTGGATTATCTGTTTTTTATCAAAATTTGATAATTATTTTACTCATTCATATAGTAATTTCATTATGGCTTGTCAGTCTTTGAGATCTTCATGTTTATTATCTAGGCTTTAAAGTTAACTGATATAAAGTTAATTGAGTATCCTATTAACTAAACCCCCACTGGTAAGTACTTTGCAAAAGCAATATACACAACCAAAGATGGAAAATCATTGAAGTTCTTCCCTGTACTCTTATATATTTATACTAAATACAATATTTTACCAACTATTGTGTTGTAATGTGATGTGTTTGTTTAATCAATGTCAAAAGTAGGTAGATTTTAAAAAATATGTATTTATTTATTTATTTGAGAGAGTGGAAGGGAGGGAAAGAAGCATAAATGTGACAGAGAAACATCGATCAGTTGCCTCCTGTATGCACCCTGACTGGGGACCGAAGCTAGGCATTGTACCCTGACTGGGAATAGAACCGATGACCTTCTGCGTCACGGGAGGACACCTAAACAACTGAGCCACACCAGTCAGGGCAAAAGTTGGTAGATTTTAGGAAGATAGACATATTCAAATCCAAATACAATTTTTTTGTTTGATAGTATAGATTATAATTAGAATGCAGGTACTTACATTATGCTGGAAAGTACCTGTAAGAAAATAGCTTTGTCAAGTATAAAGAACCCCAGCCACCAAATACATGATCATATTAATGTTTAGTTATAAAATTTAAACTTAGTTTACTGTTACCACTTGCCTACTTAAGTCCCATTGGCTATATTGGTTTTCAGATAAACTTTTAAAGAAATTTGTGCCTTTCAGGAACTATATGTAACTTTTTATCCTTTTCTAGGATATGGAAAAATGAAATAAACAATACAAATACTTTCAGAGTTTTACCTCATCCGTGCTTTGTTTACACGGCCAAATTCCATCCCACTGTAAAAGAACTGGTGGTTACAGGATGCTACGATTCTGTGATACGGATTTGGAAAGTTGATATGAAAGATGATTTTGCCACATTGATCCGACAGTTTGACACTCACAAGAGTTTCATTAACTCTCTCTGTTTTGATATTGAAGGTATGTCAGAGAATATATTCCAAATTAAGCCTAGTTGTATGAAGAATTAAAAACAGTGTTATCTCTAGGACAAATATTTAAGCTTGAGAAGGATTTTATGTATTGATTGTGTATTTTGAAATTTATGCGTATTTTGCAGATTACATAATATACCTGGGTATATATTTGGCATTGAAGGAGTTTTGTTTGTAATTCTAAAGTCATTAAGCTCCTAAACATTTAGATTTAACTAATCTTCACTGTAACAACTGGTCATGTTCCAAATTTCATAAATATATCACATTAGATTGGCGATTATCCCCTTAGTACTTTTTTTATTAGAGGGCTTTCAAGTTAAAGGGTAAAAATGAGGAAGATGAAGAAATAAATCCCAAATTTTGAAAATACATATTTTAAATGGAGCAACAGTATTATTTTTTAAAGTATAAGCATATAGAAGGGAAATTTGCAATTATTTTAGTTTATTCTATTATATGAATAATATAGATGGTCTTTTAAAGATGTAAAATATAGATTATCAACTGAAAGAATAAGGAAATATATTACGTCTTTTAAATAGTTATCTTTTACATTATTTCAGACTCTAGATATGTAGGCTTTAAGGATAATTAATTAGCATGGGATCCAGATTAAAATTATACTCTTAATGTACTCTATTCAACTCTGAGGATGTTAATATATTGGAATACATTCAGAAACGGCAAACCCATAATAGAAAGGTATCTGAAAACTGTGTCATAATAGAAGTGGCTCATATTACAATAGAGAGATGAAGAATTTCTTCATTATTTGGTTATTAATATTTAAAAAAAGAGAAATCAGTCTGTGTTGCTCTAGTGGATAAAGATAGGGCCAAAGCTACAGAAGACAGATTTTCTTTGCTCAGATTTAGAAAAAACATCCTAATACATAGAGCAGTTTATCATTTGAATAAGCTGCTTTTGACATACGAAATTCACAGTTTTTGAATAACCATCTGTTTGTAATGGTGTGTAAAATATTGCTAAGTGGGTGTGAAGTTGAACTTGATGGTCTCTGAGGTCTCATTCAACTTAAAAATGGGTTGAATTTAAGAATTATGTTAAACTGGAATGACTGTTAAATTTATTATTTTTCCATCCCCTGGTCACTGAGTTCTTGCTGGGTCTCAGGCATTATGCTAACAGACTGCGTTAGAATATAGGTGTTTTCCCAGGAATTTAAGACATTATATAGGTTGATAAAAGTGAGTGACATAGGTACATATTGCATAATTCAGGTAATTTGTTTGGCTTTGAAATTTGAGCTCTGTGTGTGTGTGTGTGTGTGTGTGTGTAAACTACCATGCTCGTTTCTTTTTGTGTTAAAATCAAGGAAGTTCAAAGGGAAATTAATCATCAAAAATCATCCAAAAGAGCACAGAATTCATTTAAAGATCATTGGGATTTGAGTGTTAGTTGTGTTTGGTTTTTGGCTTCTTTAACTGAAATATGTCCTAGTAGCCCTAGGATTCTTTTGACTGTTTTACTGGCATGCATTTTCCCAATTTCGTATTATTTCCTTCCACCTCTGTGTAACTTTAATCAATGAGTAATTTCTTTTAACCAGGTCATCACATGTACTCAGGAGACTGCACGGGGGTGATTGTCGTATGGAATACCTATGTTAAAGTGAATGACGTGCAACATTCAGTGCGCCACTGGAGTGTGAATAAGGTATTAGCACCGTACTTCATAGTTTGGGATTTCATTAAAGAAATAGGGAAAACCATTGAACCACATGGCCTTAATATAAAACAGCAAAACATTCTGTTTTCTTTTTTCAAAAAATTTTTTTCTCAGTCCCTGAAAAGTCTGTTGTCATTGATTAATTATCATGTCTTTCTGATGGCTAATTGATAATCTAGTAATTTAGTGAGCATTTTCTTCATTTTGGTGAGGATTTCCTTTAATTTTCTTCAACGCTAATTTGTACCATGGCATTCAGTGACCCATTACTGAAATTTATGCTTAAATAAGGTATATGTTATATTATATTACCACCTATCAGTGGTAACTTATATTTCAACTTATTGTTCCTCATCATAGACTATAACAATTGTCCTTGTTTGAAAAAAGACACTGTGAGTGTAAAAAAATTTCCGTAACTTTAATTAAGCCTATTGAGTCTATCAGATCTGTTTAGGAAACAGTCTATTTTATTTTTAGTCATTCTCTTCTGTCTATCAGATTGATGATGGCCTGGGATTCATGTTGTAGCTTAACCTCACTCACTTTGAAAGAATTCTAATTACTTATATACCTGAGGGATTGGCAAGGCCCCAAAGGCACCAGTTCCACTCATTTGAGTCCATAGTGCAGAGTCTGTTATTTGTGTTAAAAATCATGTATTTCTTTACCTCAGGATATTAACCAAAAGGCAAATTTACCTGGGAAATCGGCAGCCTGGTGTGGTTACTTGAGACAGTCCCCGCCCCACCCCCCCAAAAAAGGAAATGAGCTGGAATTTTTTTTGTAGCTAATGCCATAGGACAGACGAGACTGCCACCTCTTGCTGGTTCCTGTCAACCAGCAGTGTGGGGAATGCCGAGTCACACTCCTCTGTCACTTCAATGAAGTGTCCATGAGCTGCTTTGATACAGAACCTGGGCTTCAAAATTAGGGCTTTTTAGTCTGAGCATGAGTATGATAAAGGAAAATATGGAGGGAATTACTAACAGATATTACAAACACTAAATCTGCCAGCCTATTTGTCAGATTTATACCTAATACTTGTTGTGTGGTTATTTTGCACATTTGCATCTGTGAACGTGTTGCTCCCCTTGCTGGAATCTCCAGCAGTGCATCCCCACCCTCAAATGGTGGTTCTTTAGCTCAGTAAAATCCCCATCGGGGGTGTCAGTGTTTGACTTTTTCTGTAACTTTTAAAATACAGCTGACAGCAGGTCTGAGTGTCAGACTGCGGTCGCAGAGGGTCACGTGCTGGTATTGGTTAGGACTGGAGCAGTTTGTGCCCTGCCTCAGCTAATGCCAGCCCACCTCTGGAGGGGCTGCCCTCTAGGCAACAGGCACGAAAGTCATACAGGGTCCTCTGGGGCGAAAAGGGGCACTTCGTAATTCTGCCCGTGTGGACTTGAGTCTGAGCAGTTTTGCATTTGTAATTTTTTTTCATTCTGGTAATCCAAACTACAAGGACCTCTGGTAATTATTTTAATTAATGCAAGGCTTGTTCAGGCAGACTCTCCATCAGTGCTTGTATCTTTCTTGACATCATTAATCAGGCATCTTCCATAGCTGCCTTAAATAATTATTTTTTTTAAACCCACCTAAAATTAAAATCTAAATTAAATGACTTCAGAATTATCTGCTGATGAAACACCTTTTTCAGGACAAGTGGAAATAAGTGTATGAAGAAATAATCTGAGATTGAAATAGAACTTGAAAGTTAATTCTGTACTTTGAATTTTTTAAAATGGAAGCTTTTTACATGATAATAAGTAGAAAATGCAATGTTAGAAGCTGTGTTTGTAGGAAGTTCCTCTTGTTTGGGGATACACTACAAAGACACGTACAAATATGGTATTAGATAACAACCAAAAAATACATTTCATCAGCTTTATTTTCAACCTTAAACTGAAATTACTGGGGATTCCTTTAAACAGTTTTAAAGCATCTTATATAGTACAATTGAAAATTAGATCTTAAAGTTAATTCTCCTCTTTTATACTCTAAAAAGGGCTTAACAGACAAACTTTACAGTGGTGATATTATATAGCCTTTTTTATTTTTAGGAAATTAAAGAGAGTGAGTTTAAGGGGATTCCAATAAATTATTTGGAAGTTCATCCCAATGGAAAACGTTTGTTAATCCATACCAAAGACAGTACTTTGAGAATTATGGATCTCCGAATGTAAGTATATTTCACTGTTGATAGTTTATGCACTCGGGTAAGTAATGAACTAATTCGTATTTATAAAATGTAGCTGTGGTAGTGTCCGGAGACATTTTTGAATGTTGCGTCCGTATCTGGTGGGTGGAGACCAGAGGTACTACTAAGCATCCTAGAGTTCATGAGGCAGCCTCCAACAGTGAGGAATTACCTGGCCCCAAATGTGAATAGTTTTAAAGCTGAAATGTAGCCAATTCCTTTTTATTTTCACGATTAAAAAACACTTCTGTCTTGGAATTTCTCTTATCTACGATACGGTGTAGCATAGTCTTATGATATAATATCATAGCTGAATGAGAGGGCTTTTGAATAATTCATCCTTGTTTTTCTTTTTTTGTTTGATTTCTGAATGAGGTCAATGAAGGGAAATACTTGGAATGTAAAAGGCAGACGTAGAGTTCTGGGAAAGTCAGCATGGACTTGTGCTATGCTTTTGTTTTGGTGTTGAGTTCCACTAAAATGAGAGGAAGCAATTAGATTTCATTATTGTTTGCAGAAAGACAAACATAGTGATCTATATTAGTTTATTCTGCAGTTCCCTTTTTAGAGCTAACAATGCAGCCCTTAAACATTTATGTAGCACTGTCCCAGACACAGGTATGGGCGCTGCGGGAGGGTGGTGAGCAGAAGTAGCTCCTCAGGAGTTACAGTCCGCTGTACTGCCTCCAGAATAACATGCAGGACATTTGATTAGGTTAAATTGTGAGATCTTCTGGGACTGGAATCTGTGTATTCTTTTTCTCTGCATATAGCAGCCATGCTGTGCCTGGCAGACAGCAAGTACTCGGTATGTGTTTTTAATGAATATAAATATATAATATAAGGATTATACTTTTCAGAGCAACACAGGTGGTAGCTATAATATGGTCTTTCTGTTAAAGGCTCTATGGAGAGGCCGGTCTTTGCACTCAGTCTGAAGAGTGGGTAGACTTTAGATAAGATGGAAGCATGTTCAGTAGAGTGAGAAATGGGAAAAGCCTGGAATAACGTTCAAAGGTGGGATAATATAAATTGTGTTCTTGACAGAGGGAGTTAGTCTGTATGAGCACAGGTTTCTTGATAAGAAATGCTGAGAGTGTAATTTTTTACAAATAGAGGTTGCAGTCAGATTTTAGAAGATCAGGCCTAAGGAGTTTGGTTATTCTCTTTTGAAGCAATACAGTTTTCAGTTTAAGATTGTACTTGCTCTCTAGAGGCAAACAGCTTAGAATGAAGTGGCCTTGTCCACCCCTTGCTAGCTAATTTTCTCCTCTGTGCCTCTCTTTTCTGGGCATTGCAAACGGGAGAAATAATATATGTATACTCATAAGGGTTTGGAGGGGAATAAACTAGTTTATACATGTAAAGTACTTACAATTTTACAGCACGTGACAAGGACTGCAGAAATGTTTGACTCTGTGACCTCAGGTCTGAGAATTTATGGTAAGATAATATAAACCAGTGCAAGAAATCAGACAGCAGTGTGAAGGTCACCAGAGAGCAAGGGGGTGTGAGATGAAGAGGAGGTCAAATGCATGGTGACTAGACTTTGGCTGGTGAGCGTCCAGTGAAGTATACAGATGATCTGTTATGAAATTGTACACTTGAAACCTATGTAATGTTATTAACCAGTGTCACACCAATAAATTTAATAAAAATGGATAAAACAGTGCAAAAAATATACTTGTATTTAAGATTATTCATAGAAATCATGTTCGTGTTAGGGGACAGCTGGAAACATTGTGTGCTGTTCAGCAACAGAATATTTCTTAGGACACATTTGGATGATGGTATGACGTGTACCTATTGGAATGATAGATAACACACACTCTGTATGTTCTGCTATGGAGGGCCGTTGCTTGTGATTGTTTTGATGACTGGAAAAAGTGGATAGCAGAGCAGTGTGTATAATATCCTTTCTGTAAAGGGGGGATGGTAATGGTCCCTAACTGGCACATAGTAAGCATTAAAGCGGTGTTAGCTATTTTTCGTAAGCAAAAAAGCCTGGAGGGCTGTATATCATATTTAGTAGATGATTTAATAATATGTTCTGTCTAATATTTCTGCAAGGATCAAGTGTGATTTTTAAAATTGATCGATCCCATGAGAAAATATAAAAATTCTGTCCTTTTTTTTACCAATCAGCTCAAATGCTACTTCTATAAAGCAGTCTCTCTTCATAGCTAGAGATAATTTTTCTTACCCAGATCTGCAAAGTCTTCTTTCTTTTCTTCTCTTGTGGCCCCTCTGCATCCACTTTCTGTTTTATATTGATGCATTCCTTCTCTCTCCTATTAATTTTCATTTCCCTGAGCTCGAGCACTGTCTCTTCTTTCTTCTGCATCCATCACAGAATGTTTCCCACGTAACAGATTTTCAAAAATTATTTGTTAAATGCAATTGAAGTATTTAAAAGTTTTTACCCCATAGATTCTACATTTGTAAAATCTTTTTCTGTTTGTAGATTAGCAGCAAGGAAATTTGTAGGAGCAGCGAATTACCGGGAGAAGATCCATAGTACTTTGACCCCTTGTGGGACTTTTCTCTTTGCTGGGAGTGAGGATGGGATAGTGTATGTTTGGAATCCAGAAACAGGTAAATCCTTCACTGCTCTGCAAAAATTATTTCGGTTTTCGAAGAAGTGTGAAATATACCATTTTATGGAATAATTTTGAAGGAAATTCTGACTGTAGGTTCTCGATTATGTTTTTAGAATTGGAACGCTGATAATGAAAATCAGCTGAAGTCTAAATTTATATTAAATTCTCTTATTGTTTTGATAGATTCATGGATTTTGAATTTTACATTATAATTTAATACTTATTCTTTCCTTGTCTACAATGAGATATTGTGAATCTTAGAGAAGTATTTAATGATAACTGTAATGTAAAAATACAAATGTTATGAGCTGAATTTGGAATATAACTAGATACACAGGTGGTGAAACATCTACAATATATTCTCATTAGAAACATTCCCATCAAAAGTTTTTGATGTGTGAAACTTAATAGCGATTCACCTGAATTACTATAATCTAATAAAATACACTGTTACATTGGGAAGTTCATTTGTGCCCTATCTTTGTCCTTCAAAAAAAAAAGCTAAAACTTCATATTTTTTAGCAGTAAATGGAAAAAAAATTCTAAAATTCACTGTATAATATCTTTATGAACAGTATTTAATTACCTTTTGTTTATTTTCTTGGTCTTCCCTTTAGGCATTTTGGACTAGTGGTTCACTTAGGTTTTTCTTTTTCTTTTCTTACTGTGTTTTGATACATTAGTATCAGTTCAAAAATGTTAAATCTCTTTTCCCCTTCAGTGGATGGACCTAGAGTTTTTGCTCTTTGAATTCTGCTTTTCATAGGTTTCTTAGGCCCCTGCTATAGGCCTTTTCTAGCCATTAGTAATCATACATATTTTTAAAGCAGAGGGTACCTCATACGGCATCTGGAAAATAATTAACCCCCCACCAAACCTCCCCCAAGCTGGGAGCTTCTTTGGTGTTGGAGCCCTGCAGTCCCCCGTCCTCGTCCTCGCTGGAGTTCCGTGCCAGCTGACGTTTGCTCAGCCCTGTCAGGTCTCAGAGTCGGGTACCTCTCTGCCTCTGAACTCTGCCTTCGCTTTGTGCTGTGTGAACCTCGTTGAAGAGTTTGGATTGAGAAGTAGGAAGAGGAGAGCCAAAAGAATGAAAAATAAAGATCATTATTTAATACAGCACTACTCAAATATTTATAAGTATTTGAAGTTTTCATGTAAATACCATGAGCTTCATCATTACTTTCTATAAATATTTTTGATAAGTTGCAGAATAATCTTCTAATGAGAAATAACAATACAAATTATTGAATGTCTTTTCTTATTTAGGAGAACAAGTAGCAGTGTATTCTGACCTGCCATTTAAGTCACCCATTCGAGACATTTCTTATCATCCACTTGAAAATATGGTTGCATTTTGTGCATTTGGGCAGAATGAGCCAATTCTTCTGTATATTTATGATTTCCATGGTAAGTCCACTTCTTGATAAATAAATAATGTTTAGAGTAACACTTACATTTAGACTGAACCAGGAATCATGAATTCTGTGGAAACTGTCATTCTTTGTATTAACAGAGCTCTCTTGCATATATTGTAAGAGCCAACTAGATAAAGTAGATTATGTTATTATATTATAACATTTCATTTTTTCATAAGCACTATTGTTCTGGAGTTTATATATCAGCAGAAACACATATAATAGTTGTGCCATTATGTTGGAATCACAGAAAGGTAGTTATCACTTTCTTTGTAAATCAGTTTAAATAAACAAAATGCACCTAAAAATTATTTGGTAATGTTAACCAAATTTAAAAGCTAAGTAATATTTAGAAATATGGATCTTTAATGTGTTCAGTTGAATATTGAGTTAATTTCTTATTCTGTGTTTTTGTTCTTTTACTAAAGCACATCATTTCAATAAGTTGTAGTTTTAAGAGTTTTGTAACATGAAAAGAAGGCAAGAAACTACTGTGAATGAAAGCAAGACCCAGAATTAGAAATCTAATATCTTTTTCTACTCTAAAATTTCACTGTTCTATCATTCTGAAAAAGAAGGAAATAAAGACTGAGTACATTTTTCAGGAATAATAGGGCATAGAGTATATGGATCTATGCTATTTTTTATATGTTTCTTTAATTTCTGTCCTGATAATAGGATTTCATTGTTCTGCACTATACTGATAGTGCTGTCAATCTCAAAATTACGATTCATTTTTTTATGTGTTAAAAATTTTATTCGTTTCTTTGATTAGTTTAGGGTGTCATATATTATTCACTGTTTTTGCCAAGCTAGCAAAGTTTGTGCACACTGCCATAACTGCATAAATATAGAAATATGTATCCATAAGCAATATTAGTGTGGGAGTATTTAAACAAAGTGTTTGAAAGTAATGAAATGTGAATGGTTAAGTTCATTGCATTTATACAGATCAAATTGGTTAATGGTTGTGTTAAGTGCTAAGTTATTGAACAATTAAGTTCTAAACCTGAAGTGGGTTTTTTTTTTTTTTATCATAGTATGGATTTTATTATGTCTTCTCAGGGCAATTATTTTAGAAAATAATGTGTAAATTTGAGACTTATCTTAAAGAACTCTACAGAGAAGAAATAATGGATTTTGTTAGTGTACACATTTATGGAACACTATTACTAATGGTAGAATTGTTAAATAACACAAGACCATTTACTACAACAAGCAAATATTAGCAAAAATAAACTGTCTAATTATAGGGAAAGACACATGAGTTTATCAAGTCATCCAATGTCCAAACCAGAGCACATGTTCTGGTTAAAACATGTGTTCAGAACCGATCTTCCTTTGTAGCCCCTGAATCTTCACCACGTAAAGGAGAAGAATTACGCCTGAGGACTGTATGATTGGAACTGTTATATAGGAAATAGGCAGCACAGTTATTTCCTCAGACTCAAGAAGTTTCACAACAGTCTTCATTCAGTTTATAATTTACTTTTTAGGCTTTTGAAATTTTCACTACAAATGTTAAGCTCTGCTGTTATCTTTCTTTTCTTTGGAGGGTTGTTTGTTTGTTTTTTTTGTGGGTTTTTTTTTTTTTGTCATTAATAGAGGGATTTCATCATTAGATTAGCCCAGTCACGTTTGCCCATCTGTTTTTAGATAATAGGTTTTCAACTGAGAAGTTTATTTTAGAAGCATAAGTAGAAAGAGCAGTGTTTTGGGAGTGAAAAAACACAGGTTTTAGGTTCAGTTCTGCTTCCTCAGTGACCTGGCACAAGACTCCTGCCCTCCTGAAGCTCCATTTTCTTACCTAGTAAATGGCACTACTGCTGCTGATACCTGTGCTACCTAAGAGTTATTTGTGAAGATACTATGAGACAGGAACTGTGAGCGTACTTTGTAAATCAATAAGCACTAGATTAAGATAAACAAATAAAGGTAAAATGGGTTGTTATCATGTTCATCTGACCAGTACACACTTGACTTTATGGAAACTTATGTTTTCGGATGCTGATAAGTATCTCTATATGGAACAGAATTGAAAAAGGATTTTTTTTCCCTCTTATTCTTTCTTTTGGCAGCCTTTTTGTTTTATTGATTAGAGTGTGTGCCTTTTTAGGTCAGATGTATTAGAAAATGAATTCATAACGGTAAGAACATCATGATATAACCACACTACCTTAACATGGAAGAGGAAGGAGTTCCAAGTAGTTTAGAAATGATCAAATAATAAACATAAAATTAAAATTATTTTGTGCAATGTATTTAGAACACATTTTTAAAAATATTCTAATGCACTTTTACAAACAAATGAAAACTTAAAATGTTTTTAATACATTTTCCTAACTCTTTGCTGCTTACTTTTAAAAAGAGGAAGCTTAGAAAGAAGTTACATAATCTCAAGAAATCCAAGATTTAATGCAGTTCTTGTGCATGTTATCCATCCATAAGAAAATGAAAAGTGGTTTTAGACTCTAAAATAATTTACTTGTTAAATATAGGCCAGTATCATCAAGTGATATAGCCTTAAATATTTTATTAAAAATTATAATTTTTATTATTGACATAAGTTTGCCTTACATTTTTATTTATTTGTTTAATAGAGGAATATTTTGCCCAGACTTTCTTGTCTGCAAAAAAAGTCTATGTATAGCTTTACATAAATGTTTTAACAGTATAAAATTTGAAAAATATAGAACAGTTACATGGCTTTTAAATTGTAATTATCAGAGCTGCTGAAAAGTTTAGGTAATTTTCAAGGAAAATGGAGCAAGATTTTTAAAAAATAAGTTAAATAAGCTGCAAATGAGACCACAGTGGTAGCTAAATGTATCATCCGTCTTTCAGTTCTAGCAAAATCTGTAAAGAGTCAGCAAGCATCTTTCTCTATTAAGCATATGTTCAGGTTGTGGTCTTTTGGGTCTTTCATCCTACCGACTTCTTGCTTTTTTTGGTAAGAAATATGATTTTTACTTTCAGAAGGCAGTTTTATTTGCCTGATGTTGAACGGTTTAATCATCTAGTAATACAAAATTTAGTCACAGAGTAATGTACTTTAAGGATTCCCACAATAACAGAGTACTAGTCAGAGAAACGGCTTCTACCTACTTAAATTTACAAAAGCTAGACCTTAGCAATAATGTTCTGTTATTGATCAATACTTATCTACCTCAATCTCTAGGATCCCCCTGTACATTTAATCATAGTCATAGCTCATACTTACAAAGCATTTTCCATATTCTTGGTACCACTGTAAGCACTTTAAACATACTCCATTTGCCACAATAACCTGACAAGATTGGTTTTATAGTTACCCCAGTGTATAGGGGCTGGGTCTTGGATCCATACAGGCTTATTCACTACACTAACCTGCCTTTTTAGCAAATTTCCTGAAATAATGGTTTTTGGTTGTCTAATAAGCAAATATTTTTTTCCCTAAATTACTGTTTACCGTGTGCTCCTCTGTGGAGTATGTATTTCTTTGTATCATCTATGGTTGTAGGTGTTTATAATGCCCTATTTGTCTTTGTATTAGCAGTACAGTATCTAGTCTGAATACTGACACATGATGAATATACATTTAGCATTTTATTATTTTTTATGTATTTAATTGATTATGCTATTATAGTTGTCCCATTTCTCCCCTTTATTCCCCTCTGCCCTGCACCCCCCTTCCCACCCCACCCCCTTAGTTCTTTTCCATGGGTTGTCTATGTAAGTTCTTTGGCTTCTATATTTCCTATACTATTCTTAACCTCCTCCTCGAGGGGGAAGAATGGGGAGGAAGGTACAGGGTATAAGAAGCATAAATGGTAGGTACAAAAAAAAATTTAGTATTTTAAATAGTAGCAAATTTGGGAAGTTCTCAGCATTATTTGATAATTTCAGGTAATAAGCCTAATTTTTCACTAGGGGGCAATATCTCCTCTGAGTCAGTATTGACTCTGGAGTGCTTTTTAGTCAGTCTTTGGCAAGACAAATCTTTATTAAGCACCTGTAATGTTTCAGATTGAGCAGGGCTATGAAACCCAGGGATCACACTCAAATTATCATGCTGTATTCCATTCTTTTGTGTTTCCGAAAGAGTTGATTAAACCTCTGGGAGAACTGTAGTTAAACTGAAAAGCAGTCTGTACTATTGACATTAAAATTATTTTATTTGTAGAATTCATATTTATTAATGACCACCTATATGGTCATTGTCAGTAGCTTTATTTTTCACATTGTGACATGCTTTACCAGAGTTTAGGGCAATGTATAACTTTAGACTCCCATAAAAATTTGTTATATAATTTACCCTTTGACCAGAAACCCATGGTGTTTACAATGCCCTGTGACTAACACAGTATCTGGTATACTACTGATGTGCAATCAGTGTTGGAAATAAGAACCGCAAATTCTGTAAAATAGCATGTTTTCCATAAATGTTATAAGACTATAGAATGAAAAGCAGGGTCAGTTCATAGATTTGGGGCTAATAATAATAGCGGCTGCAGCAGCCAACAACATCTGTCAGGGATTTACTGTGTGTCCCCTACTGTTAGGAGCACTTCCCATGTATTACCTCACACGGAACTCCCCAGACCCCATGAAGTGGGTATGGTTGTCCTCATTTTACAGATGGTGAACTGAGGTACCGGGAGAATGAAGTAATTGACCTACCCCACATAGCTGGGGACTGCTCAGGCTACTGTCTGATTCTAGGCTGTGTGCCTCCAGGGCCTGTGTTCTTCAGCCATTATTAAGCTGTCGGCCACAACCATTCCTGTGATCTTTGCATGTCCTGTGTCCTGGGGGACCTTAAATTAAGAATGTAGGAAAATATTCCCATGGTGAAACATGTCGTTTGTTTTCAATTTTAACATTTAGGAGAACTTCTTAAGTTTAAAAGGAACATTACTTATCCAGTATTATTATTAATAGTTTACTCCTTTATAAACTTGCAAGGTAATGATAATGCCTCAAGCCATTCTCAGTGTAGTGTAAAATACACGT